AAAAAAAAAAAAAAAAAAAAAAGAGTCACGTCATTAGGGAACATCGGGCTGAGCAGGTGTCAGTTCTGTACGCCTTCGCTTGCATGTAGGCGAGGTGGATATCCGGGGCAACATGTATACATGCAGCTGAGTGCGCATCGGTTGTCAAATGGAGACCGCAGGTGGATCGATCACCAGTTCGATAGTCCGAGGGCGTTCTTTTGCGGGAGTAAAAGCACCGGAAAATGTCAACCGGCGGAAGTGGCGTACAAGGCCATCCCAGTGGGTTGAATGACATGGGTTGCTGTTCGTAAGCGAAGACGATGGTTCGATTGTTTCACGAGATTTAAAAATTCGGTGCCCGCCAACGTACGATCCCCGGTTTGAGGGTTGCCCCATCCGCTTTTGTCGCCTCGCAAGTCCGCAGGCTGTTAAGGCTTGAGATGATACACGCACTCGCTTTTCAGCTGAGATTCGGACGATGGGATGAACTCGAGCCCTTTTTTTTTTTTTTTTTTTTTTTTTTTTTTTTTTTTTATAATTTTTTTTTTTTTTTTTTTTTTATTCTGTTCTTTGGTGGTTTTTTTTTTTTTTTTTTTTATTTGTTTTTGGTAGCATGATCAGTCTTTGTTTCCTATCGACGCGGTCCAGGATATATAGATACTATTTGTAAAGTGGCCAAATAAGCAAGGTATGTAGATCGCCCAGGGTAACTAATCCAATCGTCACATCATTGTCCATGCCCGCCGTTGAACGCCACACATTGAAAAGCAAAGAGCCGAGAAAGAAGAAAATCAAAATCCCCAAACACCAACTTCAAGATGACAACCCAGAGTCCTTGCCCCGGCTTCCAGTGCCCGTGCCCGTACCGCGGTGGACGAGTTCAGACCCATCCTCCTCGTCGTCCTCATCGTCCATTTCCAAATCGTCTTCATCGTCGCACTCTTCAACTTCACCATCCTCGAGCTCATCATCCATGAGCTGGTCAAAGTCGTCGTCGGCCTCGCTCTCACTCTCACTCTCGTCCTCCTCGAAGCCAAGCACGCCGAGGATGGGCACCTCGACCTTGCGATACTGACTCCTAATCATGTTGTCCGCCATCTCAAATAGCTTGGTGTCCTTGTCCGGTGGAACTTCCTTGTCCATGGAGAAGTGGGCCTCCTCTTGGTCAGCGAGGTCGTCGAGCCCTGGAATATGCGGTGATGACATGCTCTCGGGCATATTCATGACCCAGCGCCGGACTCCTTCGCCCTTTGTTACACGGGACCGGGTGCTCTGCGCTCTTAACCCCGTGCGGAACTGCTTCTTTTGCCTCCGGCGTCTCCGCTGGATCCGGTCGCGGATGTACCACGCCACCACCAACATGGCGGCCTGCATCATCTCTTGACACTTTTGCCTGTGCATGTTGGCCCAGGCCTGGCATCTTTGCTGCTGCGCGTTGGAGATGGCCTGGCACCGTTGCTGGTAGTAGGCGGCAATGCGTGAAACCATGGCCACATATCGGGGATCCATGGGCGGCTGGGTCGGGTCTGCACCCGCATTCGGGATCGACGTCGGCTTTGGCGGGGCCATGGACGGGTTGTTTTGTGGTGAAAGCTCCTTCTTCATCGTGACATGATCATTGGTGATGTTGGCCTCGGCGGCCTTGCGTTTCAGTTGAGCAGAAAGGGGAAGTGCGGGTTTCCGGAACGACAGGTGCTCAGGCGGAGGTGTGACGGGAGCTAAAGGGTTGAAGTTGATGGTAGGTAGATGCGCCGCCATAAAGGGTGATGTTCTGTGAGCAGCCTTGCTCTATCGTTATATATGGTGGAGGTGGTGTTATTGCGGTTGATGTCGTGAGTATCGGGGGTGTGTAAGCGGGTTCACTCTTTGCTGTCGAACGACAAAACACGTTCGAGACAGAAAAAGGAGGAAATATGTCTGATATCCAACTCGTAGACAGTCGCAGGATACGCGGTGGTAATGGAAAGAGAGGTGAGTCGGGAAGAATCAGGCAGGAGCGGTTGATGTTGGGAGCAGCGGGAGTAATAGTAGTAGTAGTAGTAGTAGTGGTGATGGTAGTAGTGTTGGCAACAGATGAGACGAATATGGGTGCGGAGTGGTTGGGATCCGCTGAAGACAGATGGACAGGCGAAGCAGACGTATCAAACCAAATGTTCGGCAGGAAAGGAGGGGTGGCTGACTGGAAAGGGGGGCACAGAAAAAGAGATATATACCTGCAAGGCGATATTTCAAATGCAAAGGGCGACATGACGGCGCATGCTGCCATGTTTGGACCAAGGGTCTGGCGATAAATTTGGAGAGTGCGCGGGAATGGGCCGAGAAGGAGTCGAAATCGGTCGATACCGAATGGCAACCGCGCCGTACTTTTGGGGCCAGGCCCGGTACGTACCCCACGTACCTCGACGCTGTAGGGCAGGCGGCCCAGGTACTTTCACCGACTTGTTGCAACTCCGCTTACAACGGCCATCCCGTGAGCTGCGGGTATCCCAAGTTTCATAGACAGCCCTCTTTTCCTAACTCCTTCCTCGATTGCGAATGGGGGGTTTCTTCCCTTACAGCTGGTCAAAGCAGCCTTAGGTAAGGGCGGTCAAACTGACCCTTCCGTCGAACCCAATGTATCCGACGGCAGGTGGTGAGGTAAGCAGCAGGTGGCATTGTGTGCTTACACGTCGCAATCCTCCGGACCCAACCTCATTACACCTCACCTTGGAAGCCGGCCTGAGTGGGTGGGCTTTCATCTAAGCATCATCCAGTCGCCTGGTTTGAGTGTCGCATGCTACGATCCGAACCATCCATTTCCCCATAATCCCATGTTGCGACGTCGTCTAGTATACCTCCACATGCACGCACATCCGACGATGCCCTCTCCAGCAGCGGATGGCAGGCCAAACACCCCAGTGCCACACTCGCACAACATCAACGCAAGATAACTTTTTTGAACTTCATCTTTTGTTCATAATGACTTTTTGCCCCTTTGCAGCCCCGCGCGGCGCGAATCGGGTCCTGGCATGAGTATTACTTTCTCGATCCATCATCAAAGCCAAAAACACAACAGCCCATGTCTTTCCATCTAAACCGGACATTCCCATGCCGCCGCGGCCATGTGCCCAGACTCAGACACCAGCATACACACACAATAGTTGTGCACCAAGGCACGCAAAGCTATCCTGAAAAGGGCAAGAATTGCAGGGTGCTGCCACACACTGGAGATAGCATGTTCTGGGATGGCGGCATGCTCTGCCGTCTGCCCATCTTTGATTGTCTCCAGCCCACCCTCGTTGTCCGCCTCCTGCAAGCAGCAAGCAGTGCTTGTATACCCAAAAGATCCAAAATGGACACGGGGATGGATCCAGCTGTCCGTTGATCCCAATGGCCGGTGAGCCATGATATGGCCATGACCGCTGCGTATGATGTGACCCCCGCCCTGTCAATCTCAATATGACGGTGTTATCATTCGACCATCGCCCGCAGAACAAGGCACTACAGCAGCAGCCTCGCCACCAACAGAGAACTCCCTCGCCTCTCAATGGATGTCTAGGCGCTGTTGGGATGTTAGGCACTGTGTTTTTCAAAGCCCAAAATTCTCGTTGGGTTTTCGTTGAACTTCCTGCCGCAGCGACGCATCCACGCTGCCGGGTCGTTCCGCAACTCGAAGCAAAACATCGCCCAAGACTACCCGAAGCTCCCATCCCGACCTCGGGCACATCTTTGCTCAGCAGCTTAAGGCTCTCTAAGGAGGAGGGTTGGGGCGAAATACAGTTGTTCTGCTCAGGGACGCACTGTATCCGCACACCGCAACCCATCTTCCTATCTCTGCCAAACTGTCATTCATGGTGAGGTGTCCTCTTGATGCCAACGGGCCTCTAAATTTGTCCCTGCTACGTGCGACCTGTCCAACAGAATGACGCTAGACGAAACAGAGTCTCGTAAGACAATGATGCAGAACAGGCAGGTAGGTACCCGTAAAGACAACCTACCAAAACGCGAGACGATACCGCAAACGCCGTCGACGATCGCCGTTGATTCTCTCCCTTCTTGGCCTTTCGTGCTTAAAGCAACTCGCGATCTTGACGGATCCCTCCCCCTCGCCGCGAATCTTGCTTACCAGGTCGACCTTATCTGCCTCGGAGGACCCCTAATTCCGACATCGTCCCCTTCTCAAGTTCTCCATTAACCCCGTTTCTTCTCCGCTTGGCGTCTCCATTCCTGTTTGGTCCTGACTCCCCGTGCTCCATCATCCGGTTGGCGAAGCTTCCGCCACGATTACGTTACCATTGCAAGAGACTTGAGTTATCCAAGATATTCGTTGGCATTCGTTGTTGCCCGCTGTCCGGTTGCCTCTGCTGTCTGGTGTAGTCAGGTCCCGTCACATCTCCGACGATACAGAGGGCCTCGCTTAATTTTTTATCGCCGACAGCCTGCATAGCACAGGAACATGTCATGCCATTTCTCCCCCGGTCCGTCCCATGCCATGCCATGCTACCTTACTTTACCTCAAGGCTCAGGGCGATGCGAACCAAACCCGGACACCTGGACCACATGCCCCACAGAACAGTTCACAGCGGCCTGCCAGTCTGCAAAGAATCCTCCCAATGGGAGCCAATCGATTCGGGCGGATTCGAGCCACCGTCCCGAAAAATCTCGCGATAATTCACGTCCGCGCTGCCGCTCGCATGATTCCCATTCAGCCCATTCTAACCCCCGGTTTATATCGTCTCCCTTACCCGAATCATTATCTCATCATTCGACTGTAACCTCCGCTTACCGTCACAACACCATTTCCCTTGCGCCTGGACACTGACTAAACTGGCCAACCAACAAGACCAAAAAAACTTGCATCGACGTCGCATCCAAACAGCTCACATTCAAGATATGCTCACATGTTACCCCGACCACTTACCACACTCGCCTGCCATGATCTGGTTACCCCATTACTGACTACTGCCCGATCTTATTCGACCGCCACACATCACCTCCGCCTGCGCCGCTGCAATGGAGTGATTTGCGGCTCCAGCTTCGGCCGAGAAGTTGGGGTTTCTGGACTGCCGGGCGGCAGGAGCTGGCACTTGTCCGTCTCTGCCAGGGGCAAGAAGACAAAGTCCACGGTGAAGCTAGACGATCTACCCCAGGGCGTTTTGCCACTAGATCCCTGTCCTGTGCAAGATGAGGGCCCAACATACCCGACCGTCGTGCTGCAAGCGCGCCGCAACATGCAAAAATTTGACAACTGCGTACTATTGACGCGAGTCGGCGGTTTCTATGAGCTGTACTTTGAGCACGCCGAGGAGTACGGGCCCCTCCTGAACCTCAAGGTTGCTCAGAAGAAGACGAGTGCCGGACCGGTTCCCATGGTAAATTAGTCTCTTCTCGTGTACCGGAAAACGTGCGCTGTTGAGTCTCGTGTTCTTTGGGTCTGATATGTGATGGTTGCTAGGCCGGCTTTCCCTTCTTCCAGCTGGATCGGTTTCTCAAGATGCTGGTCCAGGATCTCAATCGCTATGTCGCCATTGCTGAGGAGTTTCCCAATAACGCGCCGGAGAAGGTCAAGTCTGGTGGGCTGATGCATGATCGGAGAGTTGCTCGTGTTATCACGCCAGGAACCTTGATTGATGAGAACTTCATGGATCCCTACACCAATAACTTCGTGCTGGCTATCCATGCGACGGCAGCCCAGTCTGGGGGAGGGGTAGAGCAGACAGGCGCCCCAGACTCGTCCCATTCAGCCGCTGACCGGAGCGTGACTCCGGCAACTGGTGACTCTGCCGCACCACCGCTACCCCTGGGCCTCGCCTGGCTAGACCTGTCCACCGGTCAGTTTTACACGCAGGCCACCGATCTCCCGGCTCTCTCTTCGATCTTGTCGAGGATATGCCCCAAAGAAGTCGTGCTCAACAGCGAGATCCAGGCTCAGACCGACCATGGCCTGTGGCCCATCCTCAGCGAGGACCGGCATCTGGTCACTTACAGCTCCTCCGGCGAGATCAGGTGTCTTTCTGATTGGACCTCTATGCTAGAGAGCGAAATCTCTCAGGCGACGCGCGATGCCTTCACCGAGCGTGAGGTGACGGCCGGCAGCCTGCTGCTCCATTACGTCAAGGAACAGCTGCTAGGGTTGAGCATGAAGCTGCAGCCGCCCCTGCGACACGAGAACATGCAGATTATGAGCATCGACAAGAACAGCGTGCGAGCACTCGAGATTAAGCAGACGATCCAAGACGGGAGCTTTCGGGGCAGCCTCCTCCACGCCATCAGACGGACGGCCACCAAAAGTGGTGCCCGGCTCCTCAACGACTGGCTAAGCGCGCCGTCCACATCCCTCGACATCATCAAGCTCAGACAGGACCTAGTCGCCCGCTTCATCGAGGAGCCAGACTTGCGCGATGCCGTGGTCTTGCTGCTCCGCTGGAGCCATGACTCCCAGCGCCTCGTACAGAAATTCGCACTCGGCAGAGGAGACCCAGACGACCTGGTAGCCCTGGCGAACACGATCCATGCCACTGACAGTATCCATCAGCTGTTGACGGGAGCGGCCGATGAGTCCAAGTGTCTCGCACACATGACTGCCCGCATGAACCTCAAGGGGCCCCTGACCCTCGCGCGTCGCATCAAGGACGCCATCGACGAGGAGGGCATTGTACACCAGCATGAGATCGAGGCGAGTGAGGCGGGGCAGATGATGGCCCTAGCCCAAGAAATCGTCAGCACCGAAGGCACGCAGGACGACGCAGCCGTCCTCCCCAAGGGAGCCGCGAAGAGGAGGCGCCCCACATCGGTCCGGGAGGCATACGCCGATGATAACGAGACGTGGACCATGAAGCCGGAAGCCAGCGCCGTCCTCCGCCAGCTCCACGTCGACCTCGCCGCCCTCCACGCCGAGAAAGAAACCCTCGCCGAGACGCTCCGCGACCGCCACAGCGTCGCGTCCCTGACCCTCCGCTGGTCCCCAGCCCTCGGCCACTTCTGCCACATCAAGGGCAAAGACGCCCGCGCCGTCTACTCCAACATCAGGGCCTTGAGCTCCAGTAAGTCGACGAGCTCTTTCCACGACCCAGAGTGGACGCGCCTCGGCCAACAGCTCGAGCACGCCCGGCACAGCATCCGCACTGAAGAGCAGCGCGTCTTCCACACCCTCCGCGCCGCTGTTGTGCTGAACCTTGTCAAGCTGCGCCGCAACGCTGCCGTCCTCGACGACCTTGACATTACCACGTCCTTTGCGAAGCTCGCTGTCGAGCAGGGCCTCATCCGGCCCATTGTCAATAACTCGACGGGCCACACCATTATCGGTGGCCGCCATCCTACCGTCGAGGGCGGATTACACGAACAGGGGCGTAGCTTTATCCGCAACGACTGCCTAGTTGGCGGCTCAGGCTCGCCGGAGGCAAAGCTTTGGCTCATCACGGGGCCCAACATGGCGGGCAAGAGCACCTTCCTCCGCCAGAACGCGCTCATCACGATCCTCGCGCAGATCGGCTGCTACGTGCCGGCCGACTACGCCGAGCTGGGCGTCGTCGACGCCCTCTTCAGCCGCGTCGGGTCCGCGGATAATCTGTACCGCGACCAGAGCACCTTTATGGTGGAGATGATGGAGACGGCGCACATCTTGCGCAACGCGACGCCGCGGTCCTTTGTCATTATGGACGAGATCGGCCGGGGTACGACGCCCGAGGACGGCACGGCTGTCGCGTACGCCTGTCTGCATCATTTGGTCACCATCAACCAGTGCCGCACGCTGTTTGCCACGCATTTCCACCGCGTTGCTGACTTGGCGGTCCAGGATGGGTTGAGCGGCGAGGGCGAGAAGGGGTGGGTGGAGATGTACTGCACAGATGTGGACGAGGACGAGGATGGCGGATTCGTCTACGTTCATAAACTGCGCAAAGGCATCAACAGGCAGAGTCATGCACTCAAGGTGGCAAAGTTGGCAAACCTGCCAGGGCCAGCAGTGAGCATCGCGAAAAGGATTCTTGGTATTGAAAAGGCTTAGACTAGGGGGTTGATATCACGTTTGGCATGTGGAGAGATGGAAGGAATCACTGTACGATACGGGTCGTGTGTTCAAACCTGTACACTTTTTTATGTTAGCCATGTTACCCAAGTGGAACTGAGGCTGCGAAAAAAAAAATTGGATAGAAATTGCTCTCTCATACGGAAATTGTGTGTGACATCAAGTAGATCAGGGTTAAAAAGCTCTTGAACATTTAAATAATCATAGGAAGCGGAGGGGGAAGTGAAGAAGAAAGAAAAGTACTAACCTTTGAAACATTGGGAGAGTGAATGCTCACGAGCATAGTCACATCACCGAGTAGTCAAGAGCGACTTTTTTTTTTGCCGTCAAATGCGATGTGCTTAATTGATCGGCAACCCATCTATACAGCGTTCAAGATCCACGTGTCTTCGTAAACCCGTTCGTAGCTCAGATAGTAGCCGTGACATCACCGATTTCCCGTCATTTTTAGTCGCTAGTAACGATGTTAGCAATGGCAAGAAACGTAGGGGTAACAGGTGAACGTACAAGAGACCGCCGAAGCCGCCATCCTCATCAGACTCCTCCTCCTTCTCCTCCTCCTTCTCCTCAGCCTTGGTCTCGGCAGCGCCGCCGGAGGCAGCACCGGCAGCGGGAGCGGCAGCGGCGTAGGCATCGGGGTTGGCGATGCGGTCCTTGAGCTCGTCGATCTCGGGCCAGGAGTAGTCGGTCTCGATGGCGACAGCGAGGACCTTCTTGTATCCGTTGTAGAAGGAGTGGATGACGGAAGGAAGGGTGGGGAAGTTGATAGCCAGGGACACGGCGGCGATGGTCGTGACGGCGCTGGAGAAGGCCTTGAGGAGCTGGTCCTCGGAGATGTCGAGGACATCAGCGGGGAAGCAGTTGCCCTGGTCGTAGACCTGAGCGATACCCATGCCGTAGGTGAAGGGCGAGATGTTCAGCATGTTGAGGAGGGTGGCCTCGGAGGGGCCGACCTTGGTGTTGGCCTCGACGAGCTTAAGATCCGACACAATTTCAATGGTACCACGGGCAATCTTCGTAGGGACACCGAGAGCCTGGAAGAAAGAGGTCTTACCGGGCTCCATGCCGGTGTTGCCGGCGGGAACCCAGACATCGGCAGGGGCGAGAGCACCGGCACGGGCAGGGGCGGCGACCTTGTTGGCGAGGATCTTGTCACGGACGTCCTTGAGCTCGCCGTTGGTGAAGACGAAACCGACGTTACCCTTGACGAAGGGAAGGAGACGCTCGTACTCGGGGGAGTCGGGGATGAAGGTCTTGAGGGCACGGCGAACCTAGATTTCAAGGCTGGTTAGCAGACAGGTCTTTCCGAGGCACGACGCGCCAGCGAGAAGAGTTCTTCCAGGCACAATTGAGCTTCGCATGAATACATACCATGGTGTTCTTTCCCATCAGGACGACACCCTCACCACGGAGGGACTGTCTGATCTCGTGCATCTGCTGAGAGCTGACATTGTCGACGGTGACGATGAAGATGGACTTGTACTCCTCGAGCAAGCCCTTGAGCTTGTCGAAGTAGCCGGCCTTGTTCGCAGATTTGCCCCCCATATCTTCTTATTTACGAAGGCAGGTTGTTTAAGGGCAAATGAATTTGTTGGGGAGTTGGTTGGTGGATGGGAGTTGGGTATCAAAAAGTTGACGTGTTGTGAAAGACAAAAAGGAGGCTGTCCCCGGAATTTGCGCTTTTTGCTTCACCCAAACGAAATTTCGGTGTGTGTTGCGGCCGGGCGCCGCTGCCCCCATCAGGGCAACCGAATGGGTCTAGTCCCAAAGAAGGCCAAGCGCGGGGCATCTTGCAGGGGTTTCGTGGCCCAAGCTTGGAAGGAAAAGATGCATGCCGCTTTGTACCGCTTTTTTTTCTCAGACATCCGGTGGTGGGGCATTCATTTGCTTAGATGCGATGAGTCTGAAGTGAAAGTTCTACGTATCTTGCAGTCCCAGCTTCAAGTCATACCAAATGAGCGCGAACAGCACTGAATAACTCACACTATCACGATGAAGGTTCCATACAACTGCTTAGAACCCGCGGGTAACGTGGTCTTCGCCGCCAGGGGTGGAAAGATTCGCTCATTCAGTCTCGAAGATGGCGCTCACATCTCAACATGGGAGCATCCTGACGTCGAAAAGGCTGCTGCCGCTGCTGCATCGGCTGCTGCTGCCAAAGTTGGTATTGAGGTGAGCTCTGGTGTTCCTACACCTTCGACTCCAGCCAACGACGAGGATGGGCCTCCTCCCAAACGTCAAAGGGTCGAGAGCGCCGAGGAGGATAAGACGGAGGCCGTGGAGGAAGCCAAGGATGCCGATGCCATGGTTATCGACAGTGAACCTCAGAAGATTGGATATCAGAAAAGAGATAGGAGAAAGGGAAACAAGCAGACGAGGCGGAATAACCGGGACGGCCAGCAAAACAACCGCGGCACGGCGTTTGCGAGAGTCCCAGAATACCCCGTCATCACCATCATGACGACCACCAGCAACGGAAGTCACTTATTGGCCATCTCGGGTCACGACAAGTCTCTCTGGGTCTTTGAGCACGATGGCAAAGGAAACCTGACGGAGTTGAGCCAGAGGTACGTTGCCCGACTTACACCGTCATATACATTAGCCTTAACACATCTCAAAAGACAAATGCCTAAACGCCCCTGCTCCGTTCTCATCTGCCCAGACAACGAAACCGTCTTGAGCGCAGACAAGTTCGGCGATGTCTATTCCCTACCACTGATCCCATCGGAAACCTCAGAATCCTCCGACGCTGCGGCCCAGCCCAAGGTCGCCTCCGAGGCGGCCTCCGCGGCTCCGAAACCCTTCACGCCCGAAGCGAACTCCTTCACCGTGCACTCCAAGAGCAACCTCCGCGCTCTTCAGAGTCAATTGCGCGAGCAGCAAAAGTCGAAGCGCGACGTTACCAAGGAGCAGCCAACGTTTGAGCACACACTCCAGATCGGCCACGTCTCCATGCTCACTGCTCTGACACTTGCATCCAAGGGGTCTCGCCGGTATATCATCACGGCGGACCGCGACGAGCACATCCGCGTCTCACGCTTCATGCCGCACGCTCACGTCATTGAGGGCTTCTGTCTCGGTCACGCCAACTTCATCAGTGCACTCACGCTGCCGAGTCTGGACGTCTTGGTCTCGGGAGGTGGCGACAGCGAGCTGTTCGCCTGGGACTGGGAGAATGGCAAGGTCTTGTCCAAATTCGATGTCTTGGGGCAAGTTCAGCAAACCGACAAGGACACCACCAAGGTCGCTGTCGCCCAGCTTCTCTCGGCCACTGTCACGGAGAACGGCTTGCAGGTGCCTATCGTTCTAGTAGTATGCGAGAGGTTCGTCAATTGTGTGTCTGACGGTGATTTGATCATGGCTAAATCAGTATCTAGCGTATCTGCCATTCTCGTCCTCCGCTTGGCCGAAGACAACATCCTTTCACACGTTCAAACCATCTCGCTCCCGGGAAATCCACTTTACGTGGCACCGATTGTTACCGGAAACTCGATGACAAGCATATTGGTCACAATCGACCCGGCAGAGAACGATACCGCACCTAATGGAATCGTCTCTTTCAGATGGACTGGTGCCGCCTTCTCGTCCCAAGACTTGGGAATTCAGGATGCAGGCGTGAGTGAGGGGGAATTTGACATGTCTCATGAGCAGGTGAGGAAGCTACTGTACAACACCGAAGATTTGCGCAAGCGAGGCGATGACGAGCAAGCCGATGAGGAAGAGGGCGATGAACAGGCGCAGGCAGAGGGAGAGCATGCGTCGAAAGAGCCGATGCAAGAAGATGCGTCATAATCCAAGTCGCGAGCACTGTATTTATGGTGGGGAAAAACTTCAGGCACGTTTATCATCAATTCGATTCAACGGATTATCCTCTCTATGACCGTGAACGCCTTCCTGCCAAGTCTCGAATGTCCTTCGAGCAAAAGAAGCCAAGTGATGTTTTGAGAATAAGCACGCGCTGGACCAGATTTCCCTGTTACTGTGTGCTGGTCCATTTGAATCCAGCTTCCACTCTCGACGAACCCGACACGGGCGTCTAGACGAGACGTCGTGGCTGGTCGATTCCCGCCATCTGAGAACGGTCTCCCAACGGTGACCCCCTTTACCGTTTCCATGCAACCGTGTCCATCCATTCGTGACTGGGAAAATATGCAATTTCGTTCTGTCGAACGAGTTTGTGAAAAGAAGTCTCGCCCGCGTCCTCTTCCGCCACCACGCCGAAGATGCTCGTAATATCAAATATCATCGGAATATGATGTCATTACTGAGAAGCGCACTGCACGCGCTCGGCACCGGGGTGACCGTCCTCGTCGTCCTCGTCCATACCGCCAGCACCTCCGAAGACTCTAGCCTGGGAGGAGTTGTCCAGGTCCTCAAGGTCGGCAGGCTCGGTCATAGCCTCAGGGGGGGGAACAGTTTGCAGCGAAGGAGCAGGAAGCAGCTTCTGAAGGGCTTCAAAGGCCGCGGGGTCCTCGGTCCAGCCCTTCTCGGGGAACTTGACGTTGAACTGGATGTAAAGATTGCCGAAGTCGTGGTGTCTGGGAGAAGGCATACCCTGGCCGCGAACCATCTTGACAGCGTCTGCGATGTGTTAGCAGGTATTAACATCAAGGAAGCGAAGGAGGGTTTGACATACCAGGTGCAATGGCTTCACCGGGAAGGATCTCGATGCTGAGCCACCTGTCGTCGAGGTGCTCAACGTAGATAGTTCCACCAGCCAGTGCAGTCACCAGCTCAATCTCGCACTGGTACAAAAGGTCATCCTCCTTGCGGGTAAAGCGGTTGTGGGGCTTCTGCTCGATCTCGAAAACGACGTCACCAGCCTGGATGCCAGGAGCTTGGTCACCCTCACCACGGAACTCAACCTTGGTGCCGCTTCTGACACCACGGTCGACGTGAACGTGGAGGACCTTGCGGTCGACAATGGTCTTCTTTCCGTTGCACTGTTTGCATCGATCCTTATCCTTGATCGTCTCGCCCTCTCCGTTGCAGTCAGGGCAGACAGTTTGGAAACGCTGGATCATGGGACCCATTTGTCTCATCATGGTCTTCATACCGTGACCATCACAGCCAGCGCAGCGCTTGACAGCGCCCTCCTTTCCGCCACGACCTTCGCACTTGGAGCAGATGACGGACCGCTGGAGAGCCAGCTTAGAGATCTTTCCGCGGTAGACATCCTCGAGGGAGACCTTGTGGGTGTGGTGAATCGTGCGAGCCTTGGGAGGACCGCGGTTGGGCATGCCGCCGCCGCCGAACATGCCTCCAAGGCCGCCGCCAAAGCCACCACCGGAGCCGAAGAACTGAGCAAACAGATCCTCGGCAGCCATGCCACCACCGCCGCCTGCACCACCTTCGAGACCAGCCTCGCCATATTGGTCGTAGACAGTGCGCTTTTGGGAATCGGAAAGAATTTCGTAGGCGTGGGAAATCTCCTTGAACTTCTCCTCAGCATCGGGGTTGTGGGCGTTCTTGTCTATGGAGATCTTGTTAGCAAGTCCGTGGCGACGCGGCGAATCCGTTGGTGCCTACCAGGGTGGTACTTCAGGGCATTTGTCTTGTACGCCTTCTTCAGCTCCTGTTCGGTCGCCGTTGGCGCAACCTATTCCGATATTAATATTCTGTCCCAGCCATTTCGGGAGCTTCCTTGTCCAACGTACGCCCAGGGTTTCATAGAGCTTCGTTTCCTTGACCATCGTGCTGGTAGGTACCGTAATCCTTATCTGAGGATTGGCGATAAACGGTAGTTCTGGGTAGGAATCTATGGAGGGGCCTGAGTGACCACAGTCAGATGAATGAATCAAAAATGGTTCTAGGGTTGAGGAGCCTCGTCTCGTAAATCTCCGTTTCGAAGTGAGGGAAACGGAGGAGAAGAGCGAGAAAGAGATTGTTTTTGGCGGCTTCAAGACAGAGCCGATCCAACAGAGAGAAAGAGGGAAAGGCGGAAGTAAATTGGCGGGTGCAAGAACAACTCTGATTCGCTTTGCGCTGCAGGAAACACCGACAAGTACTCACAGTTGAAAGAAGCCGACAATGACGAGTGCGCAACTGGGTATCTGATGTAAACTAGAAAGAGGGAGGTAGTTGCGGGGGGAAGTAGAAAAAAATTGAGAGGAGATCTGTAGCCGGGCTGGCGAGGAAGTTATTGATGGGTGAGGTTCCTGGTGGGGAGGAGTACGGTGGAAATGTACCTTGGCTGAATGGACCGGAGTGCGCTAGTGACGGGACACTGGGACATTGGGACACTGGGTTTTTCACAATAAAGGGAGAAGCAGGCTGCAAAGGCGGGTCGCCTTGCGCATGTCCCGCGCCAAAATGGCCCCAAATTGAAATCGATGGAAGAACATGGAATTCTTTCCAGCCACTGTGGCGGTGCTGATGATGCAATACTTGCAGCGACTGTCCATACCCGGTCCGAGGGATCCTTCCTAGAGGACCAGTAGGACCCTGATCGCCCCAGAAATACTCTTTGTCCGCCTTCCAGGGTTCTCTGATACCAGTGCGCCTTCCCTCAGCCTGATTTCCCTCCCCCAACCCGCCTCGAAGCCTATTCTTATCCCATGCATCCCATATACGGCGCAAGTAGCCCATTAACAATTTCCGACAATTCGGTCCCCACCACCTGGGGTGGAAGGGGGGGTCTTAGCTAAGCGGGGCCTGGAGGTGGATTTCTCATCCGTCATCGTCGTACAGCGGTCCTGTTTACAACGGATTTAAGCCGTCGTCGGCGATTGCCTGTCAACTGATTGGTTTGGCCTCCAGCAAACATACAGGCTCGCTTACATCAGTCACCAGCTGAGTGCGAGACAACGTGACAACCTACTCAGCGTACTTTCACACACGCGTTGCGAGGCCGGAACTTTGTCCATCAAACGAATACGCGCGGTTTCGAGCATTCATGTTTCAACAGCTCGTCAGATGCCTGGAGACGCTATCTTAAATTGCAAGTCTCTTACCACTGCCGAAAACCCCCACGACATCGGGCCATCCGCACAGGCCTACCCTCCTATTCTACGTTATGCAGAGTCGCTCGCTATCGTCAGAGATCGTCTCATCTAGGTTGTTAAATGATTCTGTGAATCCCCAACCTCCAGAACGTTGAACCGGTTGGAGATGTGTTCAGAGATTTGTTGGCGTGAACCTCCATTCTTCTCCTCCTGCAGATGTCCGTGTTTTCGTGACTATGGATAGTCAATGCGTATCTTGCCGTGCTTGGACAGTGTCGTCCTGGGAACGGCATGCTGATTACCCCCGACACAAGGAAACTTTACACTGGACGTGCCCACCAAGAAGGGATATGAACACCAAAACTGAAATGCGGATTTTCAATCTTAGAAATTCATTCGTTGCTCGTTGCTGGAACCCGACTGGCCTCACTGACGTCAATACTTGCTGACCCTCGTATCTACCAACCCTCATGGTTTAGATGCTTGGCGAAGGCATCCCAGAACCATCGCTATCAACCTAGCTAGGTGATCGAATGGGTCACATCGAGTTCCTTCCTCTGTATTAGATAACAATGCCTGATAGAAAGATCGCATGGTTCCTCAGTGTGTTGTTCTCCTCCGCAAAGCTTGATATGCTCAGTCAGTCCGGGCCAGCCGAGAATGTGGGCTGTAAGGGTCATTGGAAAGAATTATCAATGATTGTAACATGTTCAGCAGCACCACGAGAGAACGTTTTAGGTTGTCTGGAATTGACGTTAGCCTACATCACCGTGAGACGTGTGTAAAGGGTGACAGAAAACGTTAAGAAGTACGACCAAGACCATAGTAAGGTAAAGCACCACAGTGGCCAACCAGCATGATGACCAGTAACGCTTGAAGTGCGTATGATAGGTCAATCTATGTGCAAACGTGTGGTTGCGACGCCTGAAGCTGGCGGGGGGATATGAGCATCTCCGTCGCCCGGATCTCAGACCTAAATCGTCCAATCAGACATAAATGATGTTGAATGCCACCGATATCAGTATTAGGTACGAAGCACAATGGACACCCCGCCCGCGCGCGGGCCATAAACCGGGGTCAATGCCGGCCCTCAAGCAACGAAAATGCTATTACCAGGTTTTGTAGATGACATTGCTGGTTTGCCCCAAAACAGCAAAGACAAAGACTGCCTGCTCGAGCCAGCAAGTGAAACAATATGTACCTGGGTCGACGGTGTCTGTATTGTTCGATCTCTTATCTCTTATCAGGGACAGCATAAATCTTGCATTGAGTGTAGGGAGTTTCGCCTCTATTATGGGACAATCCATTAGGCTAGTTGCCAGTACTGCTAATCCCCTCGGAGAAGCATCATCTCAGCCCGCGTGTAGGTGACGGCATTGGCCCGTTTGGGCATGCAGCCTTGAGCCGCCTCAAGTCTAGCCTCCGGTGTGGCACGACGTGAGGTTACTTATTCTGCTCTCTTGGTGAATTTCAGCAATCCTCTTTGCCCTCCTCTCTTTCATTTGAGAGACCCGGTTGAGTTTCTGCTATTTTTACGTAGTGAGGATTCCAACCTGCTGGGGCATCATCCCGTATTTTCTTAACAACATGGATACAACCGTTGACTTCAGTCCCTACCGCGCCGATGGCAAGCTTGTGCGTCAGTGCCGCTATCAGAGGTTTATGCAGATTGTGCTAAGCATCTTTACCAGTACGGCTTTGTCTGTGTCGTCACAGGCGCTGCTCAACCTGTTGGACGGGCGATCATCGAGGAGCTGGCAGGTACAGGTCTATTCGTTACCTCGGGGAGGCATCGCTAACACGTAGACAGCACATGGTGCCGCTTCCATATATGGTAAGAAGAGAGATATAATCTTATGAAACAATGACAGACAATAACAGACAATGATTGATACTGTCTAGCATGTGACAAGACGGCCAGCGACGAAACGTTCAAGTCTCTCGTCGCCAAGGTGCACCAGGATTACCCCAACTCCAAGATTATTCCATACCCGTTCAACGTTGGCAAAGAAGAAGAGACTCTTGTTCTAATTGACGAGCTGCTCAACGCCTTTGGACGTCTGGACATCTGGGTGTCATCGGCCGGCCTGCTGGGTCCCCCGTCCATCAACGAAACGACACCGGCCGACCTCCAGCGATGCTTCGAGGCGCATTCCATGGCGCCCTTCTTCGCGCTCAAGTATGCGCCTCCGGCCATGGCCAAACTGACGGAGAAGCAGTCTTACCCGAACGCAGCGCCCAAGAGCCAGAAATACGGCAGCATCATTGTCATCAGCAGCGTGGCATCGACGTACGGCGGGTGCTGGGGACCTTGCTACACAATGGCGGCCCACGCTGCGCTCGGTGTCGTGAAGGCTGGTGTTGCGGTGCTCAAGGGCTCAGGTGTGAGGATTAACTGCATTTCTCCGGGCCAGATAGATATTGGTCTGGATCTGAACGGGGTGAGGACGCTTTCGCCAAGTTGAGCATACGGGACTGATCAAGTCTTCAGGTCGACATGAAAGGGATGAACTCCCAGTTCCCGCCTGCGATCCTGCAAGGCAAGGAGGTAAGTTTGAGATAGGAGAGGAACGAAAAAAAGTACACGGTGAGCCTATCAACTGACACTCGTTGTCGAAGGCATCCGAGGCAAGCGTGGGCCTCGAGCGACCAGGCAGTCCCCAAGAGGTAGCTCGAGTAGCCGGGTTCCTAGCTTCGGGGTTCAGCTCCTATATCACTGGAGCAAACTTGGTGGTCGACGGGGGCTCTTCGTGAGTGTATCCTATCAAGGCGCATCCCGTGAACTCATAACCAAGGCGTTAGCTCACTGGTATGGATTATTTAGTGCCATGAACCCGCTTACGATACCCCTCGGCAAGGCATAAGTCGGCGTTGAGGTAGGTTTTCAGATAGGAATGGACTGCGGGGTATTCCAATGGTTGCAGGACGTCGAGAGGAACGACTGGTCATACGGGGAATGTCCGTCCAATCCGGGCCTTGAATGTCATGAATGTAAGCAGCACAACTAGGCAGTAAGGTTGGAGGCGGAAACGGACGTATGCTATGGCTGGAGAGAAAGAATCATGGCAATTGCGGGTTTTCGGTGCCAATATTGATAGCAAAAACATTACTTTGAGGAGACGCAAACGGAAGTCGGAGACGGCCGGGAATCGCTATTGACACCCGGACCCCCCACAAATGGAGCATGCCAGTGGCACTCACAGAGACCGTTCCCACCACAGAAACCGCCGAGAAAAAACCAACAGCAACAGTCCGTGGGCCTGTCATCCAGCTACACGCATTGACTGCTTCCCATCTTAGATTCGTCTCACACATCACCCCCGATTTCTCATCTCACAACCTCATCTTTTCACGCCCTCCTCTACACCTTTTTCCTCACTCACCCTCAAGATGGGCTTTACACCCGAGATTTTCGACATTGCCATTGAGTCTCAGGCGACCGAGACGGCCAAGAAGTACGGACTTACCCCAGCCGAGGTAACTGAGCTTCACCAAAGGGCAACGGCAGCGAAGGCCACGGCATACTGCCCTTACAGCCAATTCCGTGTGGGATCGACACTTTTGTCCAAAGATGGCCAGTTTACTTCTGGAGCCAATGTCGAGAATGCTTCTTATCCTGTTGGCACATGTGCCGAACGAGTAGCGTTTGGCAAGGCCATCACCGAGGGCATCCGGGGATTCAAGGCCGTCGCCGTAGCCACCGACATCGAGGCTCCGTGTAGCCCATGTGGCATGTGCCGACAGTTGTAGGTCAACCTCCGAGATACCCCAGTTCTCGTTACGCAACCTTCATCTGGATGTCATGAGCCGTCGAGACAGCCATTTACTGACACTTTTCACTAGCATCCGTGAGTTCGTGGATCTGGAGACGCCTATTCTCATGTTCAACAAGGACGGAAAATACGTCGTGATGAGATTGGAAGCAGTAAGTTCACGAAACTTACCCGTTGGATAAAACCTTGAGCTGATTATCGTAAACAGCTTCTCCCGTTGTCATTTGGCCCCGAGTACCTCCCGCCCCCAGATGTTTTGGAGAAGGCCCGAGCCGGCCGAGTCTAGGCAATCAAACGTTTCGTCCTCCTGTTGGACGATTAGCTACCTACCGGCTTATGTGTTCGGCAGCGCAAAGAGTGAAGAGAGGACTCTGTGCAGTGGTAACAGGATGCTTGCTACGCTCTCTTGTGGTACAGTGTAATGAATACCAAACGATGGGCGCAAACTTTGGTCGGGGGTGACTTGGCGTTGATACCGGAAAGGCAGGCTAAACCGGGTTCATTTGATTGCGATGATGAGGAGTGAATGCTCATGTCGTCTTGAGGCGAAGTGGATTGACAGTCGGTTGACATTCTACGCATATGTCGGGACATTGCATAGGTTTGAGAGCAATGAGCTTTAATCTTACCTTTTAAAATTTGGATCAGATCTACCATGCATGATTTGTATTCGGCCCTTCATGATGAATGTGATGGGTGAACGCTCCAATTACAACACCCAAGTTTCAGCCTGCCCGAGTCTCATTCCATGAGAAAGCAGTCCCCAGCTCACCCACATAGCTTGACGAGAGTCTACGTAAAGGGGCCATTGACCCCATGACGTTTCTTCCATCAGTAACATATAGGCTCTTCGTTATTACAAAGTTGGTTTCATGGTTCCCTTCTTCAAAGTATTTTTGGGTGGAACAGAAACCCGTTCGTTGAATATTCCGGGATCAAACACCGCGGACGAGTAACTTTGTGTGGAGAGGCTCAGAGCAAGATGAGAAGCCGGGATAAAGCTTACTGACTTTTCCACAGCTAAATCAGGATCTCTGGCAAGCGTGGCGTTTCCTATGATATGATCATATCAAGACGTTGACTGTATGCTGTCCAACCTTCGGCGGCATCATGGAGTGAATGATACGCAACGCCCAGCTACTGCCTTCGACCAAGTCAAAGAGCCATATTCTTCCCCTTGGGCTCGAAAACCCTTTGAGATGTTAAAAATGTAAGATAGATTGTTAAAGCTGTGGCTGAAAGATTCGAGGCAGATGTGTTTTGGTGATCAGATTCAGTACCAAACGACATTACATAGCCTTTACCACCTTTGACACTAATTTGGATTGGTCTTCGAACAATAGCCGATGATGTGCTCTGTCGTTGCAGGTCCGACTTGTCTTGCCTCGTGTTCTACTTTCTTCAAATCTGAGTGATATCAGTGTGTTACTGGCTTGCCAAGTTTCGGGCAAAAAGAGTCTGTTCTTCAATGGGCAACGGGTTTGATTCACCATTCGAGTAATTTCAAAGAACAGTGACCATTGTGTAGTCTACCGCCATGAAGTCCTTTGTTGGCGACGCCAGCTAACAGGCGGACTCGGTATTGCCCCTACGATGACCGCTTTCGCGAGGTGGCCCTTCCGTCATGCCTTTTTATAGATGCCCGCTTCTAGCATTCCCGAGCAATCATTTCAGCGGCTCTCACATATTTAGGGGTCCCTTTGACAGCTGCGGCCCAATCCAGAATCCCTGGAAGATGGATACCTCCCCCTACTGGCGAAGGACGCTCTGCCGACCTTGTACAGCGGGTTTGATTGAGTTTCGAGTTATCTGTGAGAAATACAAAGTCTAAAGACAAGGGAAAATGATTTGACCAGCTGCAGAGGGTCCCTGAACACTGACGGCTCTATGCCATAGTAAATGTGCCGAAGAGCGCTCCGCTGAAATCCCCAAGATGCCATTACCAAGGCCGAATCGCTTGAGGAGACCACGTCTTGTGACGAGCAACAGAATGTGCTGGTTCAAACTTCATATCTCAATCAAGGTCTGAAAGAAAACAAGGTCCCAACTCGTCTAAGCATTGTTGCAGATTAAACCTATTCACAACCCCGAGATGGGCGCCGCCCACGCGGCCCAATATAAGTGGCCAGAAACAGTTTTCCCATCTCACGCCCCTTGACAAGGGGTTGGTTCTTCGTTTAGTTACATACACTTAATAGTTTCAATGCAGGCTCAATCCCGCTTCCTTGCAACCCTAACGAACTGCCCAAAACGAAACGAAACAGAAAAGGGGGCCCCAGGGGTGGTCCCCGACACCTCAGACCCTCTGACAGGACGGAGAAGGGAGGAGGGAAGGCCGCCGGAAGGGCCAGGGCAAGGAGGGGAGGGGGGAATCCCTTGTAAATGAGAAGAATGAAGAAAAAAATCTCAAGGCTTGAAACCTTTCTTCCCCTCCACCAAGGTCTATCCCGTACACAACTCGAAACCCTGAGCCGTGGGACCACAAAAATGTTGTCTGCGCGCCGTTGCAGCGCACCGGTCTCTCCGAATTTTTGACGAGAAATCTCACTCACTATGTTGAAGGTACAAACGAGTACTTGAAGCGCAACATGAGGATATCGTAGATTCTCATCTCGTGGTAAGCGGCGATGAGTCTCGAATGCCTCTGCTGACGGGGTCCATCTTGGTGTGTATGGCGGGGTAAAAGCCAGTGTCCCACAAAGAAGCAAACCCCCCACCAAATATTTGACAGCACTGACATTCAGGTTTTTCTCGTTGAGGAGGGGAGGGCTGTGCTTAAGCCTGAGGACGGAAGCCAGATGACGGCTCCTGCCTCAGGCGCTAAGCACGGACCAGGTGGGGCGTCCGCTGTACCCTCCCTCTATAGAGAAACAAAAATCCCTCGACTTTCGCCTTCGGGCATTTGGTCAATTTGAAACGATACAGAGAAGATGTGAGTACACCTCCCGAGGTCCCGAGTTCGAATCACCATTCAGTCACTAACTTCCGAACAGTAGCATGGCCCCTGCACTAAGGATGACACGCTCAATCAAAGAGAAGCTACCAATTTTTTTGAGGTTTTTTTCTTTTTCCCTTTCAATGAAATTGCCTCAAATCAAGATTGAGGGATCCCATTCTTTTCTTTTTTGAAATGGCTTCTTGCAGCGCACAAACTGATTGAAACTGCCCGAGGTCTTCCTCGTGCATGAGCCCCGACTAAATCACCCGTTTGGGCTCAGAGTGGCAGGCAGCTGCCCACACCAAAGGTCAAGAAGTCGAGCTGTGGACGATACGGATGCGCCGAGCCATGGGACGTTGGGCTCCCTCTCACGCACTGGAATGCGACCGGAGACATCAAATTCACGGCCCGCCCACGTGGCGCAACCCAAACTCTTACGATGGCCTGGAGACTTGGTGGCCTAGAGTCCCACCAAGTCTCTTGATAACGGACCCCAATGTCAGTGTCTGGATGCGCTCCGGCCACTTGCAAGCCTGCATGATGGAACATCTGAGAGCAAATCTCCATGTCGTAGCAGCAATTCGCCCAGCCATTTCCGAGTATCCAGCCTTGTGCATGCTCGCCCCCGCTTCCTTCGTTGAAACCCCGGCGGTAAAGTAAGTATCTTGCGACCAGATTGTCTGTCTCGCCGTGAAAGCCTGCTGCTACACGACCCTAAAAACATATTCATAATCACTTTCAATGAGAGACGGGGGAATTATTTTAAGAGAAGATTCATCGTGACGTGGCCCCTACGTACAGAGAGACTAGGAAACCGAAAATCAAAAACTAGGACCCTTGCCAATGATTCTTTTAGGTACCAGTCCGCCGCACCTTCATGGTATTAAGGTGCCAAAAGACTCGTGAGCCGTTCCGCATGCAAGCCAGTTTTCAATTCCACCCATGAGTCGGGGCGCGTCCAGCAATCAACCATGAAGATGGTCAGCTGGCCACGCCTTTTGACTCGCCAGGTAGCCTTCCGCGATCTATCAACAAACAAGTCCTGATGAATTTCGAGTAAAATCCACCCTCAAGCGTCAGTGCCAGATCCGGTGCGTGATCGATCTCGGCAGACAACAGGGCCTGTTCCGTTCCAAAGAGAGAGTATGCGTGTATACGTGAATTCGTTACTTAGATGAGGTCGGCAACGTTCATGGGCATCTCCTCGATCTGGGTGCTGTAGAACTGCTCAATCTCTCTCATCATGCGGACGTCCTCGGCGGTAACGAAGTTGATGGCAACACCCTTACGTCCGAAACGACCACCACGGCCGATGCGGTGGATGTAGTTCTCGCGGTTGGCGGGAAGGTCGTAGTTGATGACCAGGGAGACCTGCTGGACATCGATACCACGAGCCAGAAGGTCAGTGGCGATCAGGACACGGGAAGATCCGGAACGGAACTCCTTCATAATCAGGTCACGCTGAGCCTGGTCCATGTCACCGTGCATGGCGGAGACGGTGAAGTCACGGGCAGTGAGCTTGTCGGTGAGCCAGTCGACCTTTCTGCGGGTGTTGCAGAAGATGACAGCCTGGGTGATGGTGACAGTCTCGTACAAGTCGGAGAGGGTGTCGAGCTTCCACTCTTCCTTCTCAACAGCAATGTAGAACTGCTTAATACCCTCAAGGGTAAGCTCGTCCTTCTTGACGAGAATGCGAACGGGGTCACGCATGAACTTGGTGGTGACCTCGAGGACGTCCTGGGGCATGGTGGCGGAGAGAAGGACGACCTGGGTACTCTGGGGAAGGAGCTGGAAGATGTCGTAGATCTGCTCGGTGAAACCGCGCTGAAAAGTCATGTTAGCATGTGATGGGAGTGAGTCTATACTCTGTAAGAACTTACAGAAAGCATCTCGTCGGCCTCGTCAAGGACGAACATCTTCATGCTGTCGGTCTTGAGGAAGCGGCGCTGAATCATGTCGTGGACACGGCCAGGGGTACCGACAACGACCTGGGGACCGTCTTGCAGGGCCTTCATGTCGTCACGGACGCTGGTGCCACCGATGCAGGCGTGGCACTCAATGTTCATGAAGTCGCCGATGGCGACGACGACCTTCTGGATCTGCTGAGCGAGCTCACGGGTGGGAGCGAGAATGAGAGCCTGGCAAGCCTTGACGTTGGTGTCGATCTTCTGGAGAACAGAGATGGAGAAGGTGGCGGTCTTGCCAGTACCGGACTGAGCCTGAGCAATGACATCGTGGCCTGGGGAAATCATGAGCAACGATCTGCGCAAAAACCAACTGATTATTCAACGTACCCTTGATAACGGGCATGATGGCACGCTGCTGGATGGCGGAGGGACGCTCGAAACCGTAGGCGTAGACACCTAGTAGAGCAACGTCAGCAATATGGTCCACAGTGAGGGCATTTCTCCACGAAAATTTTGAGCGCGGGAAAACATACCACGAAGGAGCTCCGACTTCAGGTTCATGTCATCGAAGGAGTCGACGGTCTCATCGTAGTTCGACTCGATCTGGCCTGGATAGTGAAAGTTGTTAGCGATTTGTGGTCTTTCAAAAATGCGCTAGGCGCCGGAAAGAGGGAGGAGGGGGTGAAGCGGTCGGTCGGTCGGTCGCTCGTAGGCGACCTCAACATAAAAGGATGAAGCCTTCCCCTGCCACAGCCACGGTCCCTCATATCTTGTCGCAAGCAAGACTTACCCTCAGGCACATCCTCAAGACCCTTGTCAGCCATGATTGCGGTTGGGTTGTGGAGGAAATCTAGATCACAAGCACAGCTTGGGATCTAGAAATATCGTCGCGAAGGTGGGGTTTGGCGAGGGGTTGGAAAATTCGCAAACGTCTCGTTGGAGAGTTTTGCGAAATAGGTCGACGAATCGAAGTCTAAGAATTAAAGTCTCAACTAGATCCGATACTCTTGGCGAAACGCAAGAGTAGAGCTGAATCTAGGAAAAAGGGTACGTTTGGTATGGTTGTTCGTGGGGTGATTGTGCACGTTGATTGTTCAGGGCGGGAAGTGAAGTTTTTATCAGCAGCTGCAGGAATTCTTGACCACGTAAAAAATTTCCTGGCGGCGGGCGGCCCCTCGATTTATGCGGTAAGCGAGGTGGCGCTAAACAGAACAGGCAGGATAGGTGATTAGGGCACACCCGCCGTGCCTTCCTCAGTGAATTAGCAACCACTAGCAGTGCAGCCATGGGAGACTGCTGTCAGCAGAACTCAGCGCTGGGAAGGTCAGAGATAGCAGGAACCACAGAGGCACAGCAGCCGCACTTGCCTGCTGAATTTCTTGCCTTGTCGCCCGGCCCCCCAAGGACCTGTCGTGGCGGAATGCCTGCCAAATTTTCATCTAGACATCTTCATGCATTAATTGAGTCACAAGACATGTTTATCGAAGGATGCGTCCACCATGCACTACGTACTGCCACCTACCTTACTTAGCTCATACCACCTGCACCTACGATGCCGCTATGCACAGTGACATGATTCCTTGTACAGCTTTTTCTCATCTCATTTTCACACCCTCTCCTTTGACTTCAGACTGTTCGATCCGCTTGCCTCTTTTCTCCAACGTCACCCCCGCCACGGATTTTCCTAGCCCAAAGCAGCAGACGCACATGCCAGTGTCCTTCCAATAACCCAAGGAACCTGGCAACTTTACCTAGTACCTCACATGGCGAACGATGCCTCGTCTGTGTCACACCATGGCATTGTGTCTAATGGCCGGAGCAATAGTCAAGCTGACAACACCAACATCGACGGCTATGACTCAAAGGCCATGGAAATTGCAGTCACCTCGAATGAGTCAATTCCAACTCATCCTTTGGGAGTGAAACCCCTGGGCAACCAGTATCTTTCGGACCGCCCGAACGCTAGGAAACACATCGGATACCTGAAAATTTTGCCCGATGAGGCTTTGATGCTTCTTCTGGAGTATCTCGACGAAGATCGTCTTCGAAAATTGGGCTACACTGCTAGGTTCCTCTACTCATTCTGCCGGTCGGATGACTTGTGGAAGACGCTATTCCTTGAGTAAGTCAGTTGCTTTGCTGAGTGGAGGGGAATCATGGGGTTGGGTGTCATTGGTGTTCATCGGCAAACGCTGCGGTTTACACAGTAATCCATACCCCTGTGCCCCTGGTTGGAAATGAAGACTGTTGTCGACTGGGATTCCGTTGTGACTCTTGTTCCCAATGGACCAGAGAATGATATTGTGACAATCCTACAGCATCTTGGCATGTAAGTCATTTTCTTTACTGACGGAACTTTAGATCTCACAACTCGGGCAGGTTCGACGGCGAATGGCAAGGGTCGTGGAGGGCCACCCAGCTGAAGCTCTCTGCTGAGCAACAGGCCATCATTGATTGCAGCAATGTCTTCTCTGACGTTCTACACAGGCCGTTCGTCTGCAGTCACGTAGACTTGAAGCAGTTCACTTCAAAAATACCGAATCACAACATGATTCGACGCATGGAAACACTAACTTACGAGGACTTCTCTGAAAACTGGACCGACACCCCCTTCGTTCTCACGAACTACATCCAGAAGTGGCCTGTTTGCCACGAATGGACTATCAATGCCATATGGAAACGCTACCATGATGTAGAGTTTCGTGCAGAGGCTGTTGACTGGCCCTTTTCGACCTACAACAAGTACATGAATAACAACAGCGATGAGAGCCCTCTCTATTTATTTGACAAAAAGTTCGCCGAGAAGATGGAAATCACCGTTGGGAAAGAGGAGGGGGCAGCATATTGGAAGCCGGAGTGTTTTGGTCCGGATTTGTTCGAGCTCCTGGGAAGGGAACGGCCCGCCCATCGTTGGCTGATTATCGGACCCGAACGGAGCGGATCGACCTTCCATAAAGACCCTAATGGTACGAGTGCATGGAACGCCGTGATTGAGGGTGCGAAATACTGGATCATGTTTCCACCCACCGCTACGGTCCCCGGAGTGATTGTTTCGCAGGACAGCAGCGAGGTCACCAGCCCCTTGAGCATCGCAGAATGGCTTCTCGAGTTCCATGCAGAAGCACGTCGGGTACCCGAGTGCGTCGAGGGTATCTGTCAAGAGGGGGAGATCCTGCATGTGCCTAGTGGATGGTGGCATCTAGTGGTCAATTTGGAGAGCGGCATTGCACTGACGCAGAACTTTGTGCCGAAGAACCAGCTCTCCGAGGTCGTAGGTTTCCTGAGGGACAAGCCAGACCAGGTTTCAGGATTCAAGCAGGATGTCGCTGATCCGTACGCATTATTCATTGAGAGATTACGCCAGGACCAGCCACATTTGTTGGAAGAAGCGCTTCTGATTTTGGAGAAGAAGAACATCCAGAAGAAGAGGAAGTGGGAGGAGGCAGTTGGCGGGATCCATGCAGAGACCAACGGAGGGGGCTTCAGCTTCGGATTCGGGGATGACCTGGATGATGAAGAAATCCCTTGAGCTACCTATTGTAGAAGACAGCATGGCTCACTGGAGCATGGAGTTCGCGACACCGGGAGGCATAGATAGGTCTTTCGAACACAGCACTGCCTTTGAAGACACGGCTACCTTAATGAAGGCGAAGGAGAGCCACCCCCACCCCTGATTCTTCTCCTCTCATGGCCTTGGAATCATGTCCGACACGCCTCAAAGGCAGCCCTCAGCTGAGTGAGATTCAATAACCACCTCGAACGTACACGAAAGGCAGCCAACCTCCTTGGTTGAACCCTGCACGAGCCTCAGCCTACGCGCTGAGACGGAACGCCAATGTGCTCGAGTAATATTTTGGCTGAGAATAGGACAAAGGGCGCAACATGGCCTGTGGGGGCAGAGCTGAACAAATGGTTGGCTTCAATGAGAGCACCAGATAAATGGTAAACTGTCTTTCAACATCATCCAGTGAAATGCCTCGTCGCTTGGTGTTGAGTACATGCAGAGACAGCACCTACATGCCAATGTTCCCTTCCCACTCAAAAACAAATCTGAATAGTTACTAAATTGCATTTGAAGCCTCCACATATAGCGTTCAATTCTGCTTCTCTCCCAACTTTCAAGATAAGCCTTTACTTGACATCTTGGATCTCACATCGCAAACCGGTTTGAGCTCCCGCTGAATTCCAAGCCCCGGATAAGGTACCTAAGGTTAGTTCGAAAAGTTTAGATGAAGGCGCCACTGCACTGGGTAAGGTAGGAGGGTGTGCCCAAGGTACGTACTCGACATCATTGCTTGCCCCGCCCCGTTGTGGTCGTCCATGAGGACTCCCGTCAGTGGATGGACAATTAGATGGGCTCCTTGGGGGCACGTCCCGGATATCTCAAGTGATTGGCTACTTTCTTGTACGTGCCCGGTAAGCGTGAGTCCACTGACACCGGGTCCCCAGTTCCCCGACCCCCAAGGAGCTGTTGGCCAGCTGGTGGGTGGTGCATCATCCCCCCTCCGTCACCTGGACTCACCTTACCTTAAGGTAACCTGCATCCACAGGAGCGGTGCAGCGGCGGCGGCAGCAGCAGCAGCGCAGGGAGCACGCACCCCAAGTACCCGACCGCAACTCACCTTACCTCTGCCGCCCTCAGGTGGCCCCGTCCCAGTTCCTGGTCCCCGTCCTCAGCTGAAGGGGGACGACGACGTGCACTTGGCCGACTTTCCTCCCACCATCCAAACCACCATCTCCAAATCTCCCGCTTTCCTCCCGTCGTGTCTCGCTTCTACCTTAGCCTTTCAACGGCTGGCAACAAAGGCTCTGTGGACGAGCAAGCAAAGTCCACTCAAACGGGGCAGCCCTTCTCTTTCGCGTACTTTATGCCCGTAATACCGACCGCCTCATCCAAGAAGAAGCTCGAGACGATCCCCCCTCTGCCCCTGGCTCCGAAACCATGTGACGGAACCATCGAATCCCGCCCACCAACTTCGCTCCCATCGCCATCTCGCTCACTTTACTCCGGTTCCTCTTCCACGTACACACGAGACGCTAGCGCACCCTGCTTCTAGTAACTCCGGCCTTGCTCAGGCGAATAGGACAACTCGTCCTCTTTCGATCTCGTTCCCCACGGCCATCCGCGAAGGCTGACATCCGACGTCAACTCACAACTCAGCCTTGCCTGCCACTACTGCTTTTGCACTCCCGCCGCCTGCTTTTTGTAGTAGCTCCGCTCCAAATCAAGACCGAATACCATCCATAGACGCGCCGTTACGGTCTCGGCTCCAAACCTTGCATACGCACGCAATACATACTCTTGACGCACTTTTGCTGCCTGCTTCTGCCTTCCCAGGCCCGCGTCTCGGCCTCAAACCGCGCCACCATGGTTTCCGACGAGCACTACGAAATCTGCCTCCCGATCCTCCAGGATGCCACCCTCGAGGATGAGGACAAGACGGACAAGCTAGAAGACCTTTTGCGAAATCAGACGACTCTGAATGGCTCCTCACTAGATAATGCGATCCTCGATGTATTATGGCGATATCGTGATGGAGGCGGAGTTGCGGCCTCCCCTCCTCCCATCCGCCAGACTATCTTACGGCGACCATCGCCTGCATCGTGGCGCGGCAATGCCACTCCCCTCTCTGGCTCTCCCAGACTTGGGGTTAGTCCTTTGGCCCCTCCAGGCTTTGTACCGTCCTTTACTCCCTCTTTCACGAGAACAAAATCATCTGCTGCGTCTCCCTTCTCCTCTCCGCGACCTTCCCCGAGACTCGCATTTGCGACACCCGCCATACCTAATAGCCCGAACTTGAACGCCTACGAGTTCGCGAACGACAAGTCACCTTCCCACGAAACTTTCGGCGACTATCAGACAGAGAACGTAGAGTGGCTAGTAGCCGATGATGCTATCAGCGTTACATCATCTGTCGGCACCTCGAGTGGCTTGAACGCTGCTGCCCCTGAGTTCTCCTCCATGTCGTCGCAGCAAGCTGACATGTCTCCCTATGACATGCTGCGTTCAATACTTGGTCGGACACGGACTGACGAGGAGATTGAAGCCGCCCTTGCGCTTCATGGCTATGACCTGAGTGCAACAATCGCGTCCATCATGGAAAGTCAGGCGCAAGAAAATGGGTATAGCAGCCCGCAGCCTGACGACAATAAGGTGTCACTGATAGGAAAGGCGTTGGCTGCGGAAGGTCGTCCCAGTACCCCAGCTGGACAAAGATCGGGCGTCATCTGCAAGTTCTATATGTCCACGGGACAATGCTTGAGGGCAGATTGCAGGTTCAGCCATGACTTGAGTAATCATCTGTGCAAGTAAGTATCTTCTACCCCAACTTCGAGTGCAGCTTCAGCTAACATGAATACCAAGATACTGGGTAATGGGCAATTGTCTAGCTGGGGAAACTTGCATATTCTCTCATGACCCGGCACATCTAATGAATAAGCTGGCTCTTGACGGGGCCAGTACCCCTCCAACCAAACAGGCCAACTTGTCCGATTTGAACTCGTTTCCAGCACTTCCCCCTGGTACGCCCGACCACATTAGCAGCTACAGTGGAAGCGCAAATGTGACAATCGGACTCACGCCGCCACCCGGCCTCAAGCCTTTTTACGCGGTTGACAGCCCTCGTCCTAGGTCTCGTCCAGGAAGCCGGCACCAGCAAGCGAGGGAATTGGTGGCGCCGTCGCTGGACGATGCAGACGCATTCCCTACTCTGGGCTCTGCTGCCGCGAAGCAAGGCAAGAAACACCACGGGAAAAGAGGTGGACACGGCCACAATCACAAGGAGAATTACACACCGAACTCCCTTGCTGAAATCGTCAAGATGTCGCCATCCCCAGGACCAGCTTCACTCCGCCAAGACATCAAAAAGATAGGACGAAATGGAAGCTCAACCAATATCCGAAATGGAGAAAACAGCGCGGCAGCACAGGCGATCCAGAACCCGAAACACATTCCGTGGTTAGAAACTGGCGAAAGAGCCAATAAGGCCTACCTCAAAGCCCGACAAGAAGCTATCAAGCACGGAGGTCTAAGAAACAAGTTTCTCCAGAGGTAAGAGAGCGGCATTTCCCTGATGAGAAACGCAATGGTTAATAAAAATATCAGTGCCGCTCAAGCATGGAATCGGAACGATGCAAGGGCTGCCAAAGCTCTGAGTCTGCGGGGTCAGAGTGAGAATGACCTGATGCGGAAGGCACATCGAGAAGCAGCGCGCGAGCTCTATGAGGAGCGGAACAGGGGCATTGCGAACAGTTCCGAGATATATGTCGACCTGCACGGACTCCACCCGGAGGAAGCCGTGGAATATTTGGAGCGCGTTCTGATGGAGAATGGCAAGGAGACTCGACCGATTTACGCCATTACCGGTACAGGTCACCACAGTAAGAACGGCAAGGACAAGGTTGGGAAGGCGATTCGTAACTTCTTGAACGAGTGGAGGTACGCTTACCGCGAATTCTCCGTGCCTGGAGATCGCAATAACATGGGTGGCATCTTGGGCATCGATGCTCGAAGTTACGACAAGGCGTTGGCGCGCGAGGGAATGTCGAGTGCAGACGACAGCAAAGATGAGGTTGACATCTTGAGTCAAGGTGTGGAGATTGGGGACGGCAAAGTCAGAATGCTTGTTAGGGATCCTCCGAAAGGACCTAGCGGGCGGCGATGACGACCGGCACCTAGATGGGATGAAAATGCAACAAAGTAGAAAGAGACCCGAGAGTAGAAAATGTCAACAAGACGCTCTCAGAAGCGAACTCGTCCATCAAGCTTACTGTAAGGACCTGCCGCGTATGGTGCTGCAGCGCAGTTAGCGAAGGCGAGGCAGAGCCGCGTCTAGCTACTTTGTATGGTAAGGTGAGTTGAGTTTATGCAGGGAAGGAGCACTTGGAGCATTCCAGCTGGAGTGGAGAGCGCCGGACACTTGTCAGATTTAGGCCGGGTATCGTCAATCGGTCGGCAGGCAAGCCGACCTGGACAGGATGCACAGTTGCTGCCATTTTGGGACGTGCGAGTACCTTATGCATCGAACCCCCTGTATGCCATGCAATTGAAACCATCCGCAGGAACATGAGACACTCTCTCTCATTCCGTTATCCCATGAAACTGGCTCTTTAGGTACTCCTCTGTAAACGTCGTCAGCAGTAGCAGTAGCAAGCTTCGGGTTTCCAACTCTGAGTTTCTACCCAGGAGGGTTCGTGTACTTGTTTCCTTGGTCCTTCTATACGTTTTGTTCTGGCGCAACTAAAATAAGGTAGATCCTACTATTCACAGAGCAGTTCAATGACCCTGGAGTACCCCGGTTATTTTGGCCCGGTAGCAGCCCGCCCGCATTGACGGCCCCGGCGATCCATGGAAGAGGTTAACCGCGTACCTTGCGCATGTCGCTGTGGCTTGGGGCACTTGGTCAGGTAGCTTACCTCATCGCAGTGGGTGTGAGGTCAGCTCTTTCAATATTGCGACGCATTCTCCTCTCTCACCATAATTCTCTCCTTAATTCGTTTCAATTCTATATCCCCAAGACTGCCTTTTCTTCCCCCGCGAAATGGCCCAGGAGAACATCGAGTGAACCAGTTATAGATCTGACTGCGAAGAGGCGGCCCACTCCAAACCAGCGTACCTATATCGACTGGTCGAACCCCGCGAATAGCTTCCTGTATCCGGAGCCTCCGGGCCCCAAAGCCGCCACTCTTCCCACTGCTTTTGCCGCCATTCGTTCTCTTCAGGTCTCTAACTAGGTGTCCACGATGCCAGCTGACTACGAATCCGCAGCGAGAGCACTCTCTCTCTCGCCGAACCCCCCGTCCTCCCCCTCCGAAGCCCACGCCGACGTCCGCCCGCCATGGATCCGCAACGTTGGTGGCAACTCGTCCTCCTCGAGAACAACAACCACCCGCCGCATGTCCGCGGCGCGCTTCGGCCGCGGCGGCCAGTTCGCTTCCAGGAAAACCACGGCGCTATCGGGCGTCAACCGTGTGGTGCGTTCCGCGGTTAAGGCCGGCAACCGCCTCTGGGGCATGTACCTCGGCCTCAGCCCCGTGCAGCGCGTCGCCGTCGCCGTGTTCCTCCTGGTCGTCAACGTCCTGGGATTGCTGTTCCTCATCTACTCGCACGCAATCTTCAAGTGGCTGGCGCCCGTGTCCCAAAAGTGGCGCGCGCTGCCTTTCGGATGGCTCATCATTTGGGCCTTCACCTTCATGACAGCCTTCCCGCCAATGATCGGCTATAGCACAGCCGTCTCGGTGTCCGGCTTCGTCTTCGGGTTTCCCTTGGGATACCCCATCGTCGCGACGGCCACAGTCGCGGGCAGCCTGACGGCGTTCTACACGAGCAGGGGCATCTTTAGCGGTTACGTGCACAAGCTCGTCGGACAGGATCATCGGTTCATTGCGCTGGGTCAGGTGCTGAGGAAGGATGGGATCGGGATGTTGACGGCTGTGCGTTTCTGTCCGTTGCCGTACAGCTTGTCCAATGGGTTTCTGTCCACGATCCCTTCCATCAAGCCATGGACGTTTGCCGTCTCCACCGCCCTTGCCAGGTAAGCAGCAGAGACCCACAGGCATCCTCGCCTCACTTCTAGTAGACTAACAGGGGATTTCGTCAGTCCAAAGCTTCTCGTCCACGTCTTCATCGGCAGCCGCATCGCCCTCATTGCCGAAAAGGGAGACGAGATGACGGCCGGCGGTAAGGCGATCAACTACATCTCCATGATCTTCGGGGCCACCGTCGGTCTCGTTGTCGGTTGGCTCATCTACCAACGCACCATGGCCCGCGCCGCCGAGCTGGCCCTGGAGCAGGCCGAGGCCGAGGGCGGTCTCGTACCCGGCCAGGACGCGCCCGACTATTCGGATATTGAGGCCGGGCTTGTGGACCCAGAGGATGTGGCGGCGCTAATGGACGATGATGACATTTCGCTATGGGCGCGCGAGGCCGATGAGGAAGGTGGGTATTACGATGATGATGACGAAAACGAGGGCAATGGACAGAAAGCCGGGCGTGAGGGCCCCGTGAATCCGGTTGATGACGATCATAACGGAAACGGGGGCGGTTTCAAGGATTCGGATTAGGCGTTTTCTTTGGCGGCGACCAGCAACTGAAGACTTAGAGTTGATGTGGAACTAGACACGAATTCTAGACATCAAACATGATTGAAGTATTTCAGGATAACGAACAGCGAAGCATGAAAGCTGGCAAATAAAGTTTTCTCATGATATCAATGTCTCATTTCTGGTCTTGTGTTGTATCGTTAGGACGAGTTCTGTCTGCTTGTTCTTCCTGTGTCCATTCATACCGTTTTCCCCCTTCGATACTTCCTCAATCTGTAGATGAAACTCGTGCAGTACACCGTGGGGTGAATTGAAATAATAATAAAGTCCACGAGGATGGATAAGGAAAACTAGCTACGAATCAAAGGTCACATCCCAACGCCTTCGCTTAAAATAGTCAAACGCCTGCCTTTCCCAAACCTGAGAAAAAGTCATATGTGCGAAACGAATTATGGAGAGTAATAGAGATGAGAAGACGTCAGAGGCTCAGGCCGCTATTGCCTTCCTTGGAAGTGTTGCATGAACTGGATCGCCTGCTCGATGGGGTAACCGATGAAAACTGGGCCTGTGAAAACCATCTGAGGGAAGCCGTTCGGAGCGAACTGCTTATTCGCGTCGAGCGGGGGGTTTATGAAGGTCGGTTGCTGAGGAGGCACACTGTGAGACGGCTGCGGCTTCACAGGTGTAGACGGCAGCTCAATCGGTTGAGGATCCGGTTCGGGGTGGACAAATGTTTGATCACCAGTATCCGGCGTCGGCGATGCGAAGCCCATGGCAGCAAGTTGAGCATGATCGAAGGGACATTTTCCTGCAGTCTTTTGTGGTGATGCGTCCTCGCTTGTTTCGTTTGACACAAGCTTGGGCGCTGGTGTAGGAGAGGCAGGTTGAGCCCCCTCCCGAGCGGCTGCCATCGCTGCCATTTTCGTGTGATCAAAGGGACACTTGCCAGTCTTTTGTGCTGGCGTTTCCTCGCCTTCCGAACCAGATGGCATGAAAACGGGGGCTGGAGGGGGTGAAAGAGGACGTTCTTCATCACCCAGACCCTGAGACTCATAGATTGGGACTGATATGCCCCACGGACGGCTCGGGGATTCGCCCACTCGAACCTCCTTAAGCGTTCGGTCGAAATGGTTCTGCCGAACCTCATCTGCATCCTCAGGCTCGGGTTGAGACTGCTCGGCATCTTCTGCTGTCGTGTCTGTGACCGCCTTCGCCCAGTTGTGAACCCTCTCATTCGAGGCTCGTTCGATCTCTTCCTGCTCCTGTTGCGACTCGGGCAGCATGGGCTGATGAAGCGCGCTAAGCCCCTGAATCATGTTCACCAAGTTGCCGTATTTTGCGTCCAGCTTCTTGATTTGCACCTCGTTCTTCTGGTATCTTCTCACGCAGACCTCGTGACTGCGAGGCAGTTCGTGCTTATGCGTCTCGACGTAGTGTGCAATCTCTTCCGGGGAGTGCTGGTCTAGGTAGCGAATCGGACATTTGGCGGGGGAGTCGACAGCGCCGGGGGTCGGTTGAGATGTCGATTCCTCAAACATGGCGGCACATATGGGATCTGAGGAGTGGTGAGGTGAAGGGTCCTGTGAGCCCTTGTCGACGCTCTGCACTTCACCATCGCCCTCGCCCTTGTCGACGCTCTGCACTTCACCATCGCCCTCGCCCTTCTGGGAAGAAAAGGGACATTCTAAAGGCCCCTTCTTCCCCTCGATCGTGAAGTCTTGCTCAAGCACGGTAGACATGGAGGTTCCTGTCTGTGCTTCACGAGAAGAAGTCTCTCTGCTAGAGTCGCTCGTCTTGCTCGTTTCGCCGATTGAAGTGAGCTGCTGGGCAACGCGCCGGCCGTCTCGTATGATGACAGCAATCTGATTTCGGGTATCCAGCTTATTGCGCTTCGGTAGCGGTACAGGGTTGGCGTCTTCTAGCGATGGATTCGCGAGTTCGGGTGGCAGCTGTAACTTTGCCAATACTTCGGAGATTTCGGGGGCAGCAGGGGCATGTTTGTCGGCAAGATACTGGTACTGTGAACGCCGGCCGATTAGCGAGAATTACCACCGAAGCTTGCCAAAGGACGAGGGTGCAGGGTAAATTTGCAAAATTGCAAGTCAGAAAATGGTAAAGGAATCAGTCTTCGCCCCTTGTAAAAGGAGCTCTTGATCTAGAGCTAAGATTGTTCATCATGTTGGAGGTGGTGAGGAGAGTGTCGCAAAGCAGTGGCTCTGCTGACAAACCCCTGCGCGTTTCGTTTCAACCTACCTGCTCGTGGGCGAATCTGAGCTTGTGCTCCAGGATCGTCTTCCTGTCGGTCAGGATCTGGACTTCATCGGCGAGAGCGTTGAAGGATTCAACAAGCGTCGTGGTTAGATGTATGTAATTCATCCCACTGTTGGTAGCTTCGCGCTCGGAACATGTGGGATGCGGCATGGAGTGGCGGAAAGAGAGGGTATTTGACGTTTGGGTGGATGGGGAGACTTTCCTTTGGCAGCCCATCTTGGACCAGGCGCTTCCCCAGGTTGGGACTTGGGACGTTCGCTAGAGGCGCGGCGCTCGTAGAGTCCGACACAGGTTTTGCCGAGCCGAGCACCTTCGGATTGTGCGCGGGGGTTGACGTTATTGGTGGATTGTCACCAGGAATCGGAGCTGAGCTTATGTAAGGAGTCTGGAACATTGCTACCTCTAATAAAGTGAAAGTAACGCAAGCAAAGCGAGAGAGAGAAGAGCCCAGCAACGGATGGCCCGCCCCAATGCTACCTTACCGTGTTTCTACTCCGTATTCTCCTATGATTTACGCGAATAGATCGTCCTACCCATGGATTTGAGAAAGTTCATTCGGTAAGTATAAGTAGGCGTTGTGATCACTCCCTGATTAAGGTATGTATAATACTGAGTCGACACATACAAGGTGTCACAGCATTCAAGTTCTATGCTCGAAATTTCAACAACTTCACCACTCCATTGACCAGTAAATGTGGTTTCTTGGTAGGTAAATGTAGGAAAGCTCATGATTCCTAATGTATGCATCATTCCATCACCTCGCCAAGGAGTAAATAAGTGTTCGATTGATATTCAAAGCCTTGAGGTAAGGGCCGGCTACTCCTCTCTTTACGCTCCATATATTAGATTCATATTAGACGACAGTATAGTAAGACTGGAACCTGATATTAAAGCCCGTGACAGGACACTTCTGGACGATGAGAAAACGCAACCTCTTGAAGTGGATCGAGACTTTGGAGGAGGTAGAGGGCCGGAATCCTTTTCTGTAAAGATGCTTTATATGGCGTGCAAAGTACACAGTGTTACACTGTAGTCGCCCCTGTTGCCCAACTGAGAAGGTGCGACATTTTACGGCAATTTACCTTATCTTGCGCCGCCGTCTAGGCGGGGTTCTCAAATGTCCACTAATTGAGATAATTGCGAACATCGACTTCAGTGTTCTTAAGCAAACATTCTTTCTGACTGTCACTCGCCAAGCCTTCATCTTAGCCCCGTCGGCTCAATATGGCCTCCAAAGTGGTTAGTGCGGCGAAACTTCTCAGCAAGAGGTCACATGTCATCCCAGGTAACCCAACCCCCCTTCCTCCTCCTCCCCAAATGGCCCAGGTCGTAGGACAGCACTGATTGGATTAACAGGTCAATTCCTCGTCTCTGAGCTCTTCTTTGAGGTTCCGAAGGACTACAGCAACCAAGCCTCGGGCGTTCTCCAATTGTTCGGCAGAAGTGTCACCAAGCATGAGAGACCTATAGTCCCTCCCAGCGAAAGTGAGAAGAGGCTGGCCGAACAGAAACCATGGATGGTGTTTCTGCAAGGTGGGCCGGGCTTTGGAAATCCGGAGCCTCAAGATAGTCCCATCACTCGCACTGCATTGGACAGAGGGTATCAGGTCCTGTTTCTGGACTATCGAGGAGTTGGACTCAGCTCCCCGGTCTCTGCTGCCACCCTAGCCCTCGAGGGTAACGCCCAGAAACAAGCCGACCACCTCAAGTTACTTCGCCAAGACAACATTGTCAACGATCTAGAGGCCATCAGAGCCTATCTCACCGAAGACTTTCCGGAAGAGAAGAAGAAGTGGTCCCTCTTTGGACAATCGTTCGGCGGCTTCGTGTCTCTCACCTACCTTTCAAGGTTCCCTCAAGGCCTTCGGGAAGTCTTCCTCACGGGCGGTCTTGCGCCCGTTGGCAAGTCGCCCGAGCAGGTGTATGAGGCAACTTTCAAGAAGGTCCAGGAGAGAAACCAGGCCTACTACCAAAAGTATCCCGAAGACGTCGAGGCCGTCCATCAGGTGGCTCGTTTCATCCAGGAAAAGAAAAAGGTCAACCTCCCTGGCGGCGGATATCTCACGATCCCGCGGCTTCTCACCCTTGGCCTTGCTTTTGGTGCTCATGGAGGACTCGACTCTGTGCACTCGACCATCCTCAAGCTGAAGACAGACTTGGACCAGTTTGGCTTTTTCACACGCGCGTCCCTGACGGACGTGGAAACGGCCACCTCGTTCGATAGCAACATCATCTATGCCATCTTGCACGAGGCAATCTACACCGATGGACCAGGTGTCGCTTCCAACTGGGCAGCCTACAGAGTCGGCAAGTCCTTGGAGAAGTTCTCGTGGTTGGAAAAGGAACCCACAATCTCTGAGTACACAGCTCCGCCCCTCTACTTCTCGGGCGAGATGATCTTTCCACTGCACTTCGAGACATACCCTGAGTTGATCGAACTGCGCGAAGCCGCCGAGATTCTTGCAAAGTTTGATGGATGGCCAGACCTGTATGATCAAGAGAAGCTGCGCGAGAACACAGTGCCTGTGTATGCCGCAGGCTACATCGACGACATGTATGTCGACTACGAGTTCGCCAAGGACACGGCCGCGCTCGTCAAGGCCAAGGTATACGAGACGAACCAATTGTACCACTCAGCGCTGCGCGCCAAGACGGAAGATGTGATGAGGGAGCTGTTTAAGCTTCGTGACAACCCAATCGACTAGTTTGTATACAGTTTGTTACATATATGTACGTATCCAGAACCGCCTCCTCAAATGGGTATCTTTGCAGCCGTCTTCTTCCAAAATCCACATCTTTTCTCTAGTTGTCCCAGATCAGCAGCCGCGAAGCCCGCTGGGTCAACCACCCATTCCTTGCTGTCCTTGAGGGGCGGTACACCAGCTTCCGTCGATGCCGACAGCTTGAGAGCATTGGGGTCGCCCGTCTGGAAGAAAGAGGCAAAGGCACCTGGAGTATCCATTGTTAGTAATAACTGTCATACGGTAAGCCAATATGCAATCCTGGACCACTCACCGGCGTAGCCCTGGTAGCGGGCAGGGTCCGACGTCTGCACTGCGTTGATCTGATTCCACTGCGTGATTGTTAGCCACCACTCACTACATCCTACCACTGAAACAGAGAACAAGAGCTTACCCAAACGGTATCGCTGGCATGCTTGGACGGGTTGAGCGAGTACTCGCCCAAATATCCACCCCTTGGCGCGGCGCCAGAGAACCAAAACGCTGGGCATGACAAGACAACGTCCCGGTAGATGAGACCCGCCCGCACGTAGGTCGTGTTGTACGAAATCGTCTCCGTGGTGCCAGCCGCGGGGTACAACCTCTTCACGCCCTCAATCTCCCGGTCGCCGAAGCCGGGTAGGAACCCCCTAAGCCACTTGTTAAACGAAGCCTCGCTCGAGTTGAACGGTGGGGACCCCGCATTCGCCGCGCTCGCGAGCCCGGCGGGGAGGAAGCTCTCGCCCTCATGCGTGTTGTACAGCGCGAAGGCCAGGTCCATATTCACCCTGCCGGCCGCGGCGGCTTTGGAGAGCGGTTCTTGCAGGAACTCGCCGTCGATGACGGGCGACCACGTAAAGGATGAGGTGTTTGTCACGTGCAAGTTCGAGATGGCCAGGCTGGCGTCCCGGATCGCCTGCACGTCCGCCTTCTTCAGGCAAGCCAAGCTGTCGGCGCCGGCGCACCCCGTGCGGGCGGCGAGCTCGTCGTAGAGGGCCTGCGCCTCGGGGCTGTCGTACGCGTACGTCTTGGGCCAGAACGGGCTGCTAGCCATGGCCTTGCGAAACAGGCCCTGCTTCCCGCCCCGGCCGAGGGACTGCGCCAGCACGCTGCCGCCGCCCGCCGACTGGCCCCAGATTGTCACGTCGTCCGGGTCGCCGCCGAATTGCTTCACGTACTTTTTGGTCCACTTCAGCACGGCCTCCTGGTCCAGCAGGCCGGGGTTCAGATCCGAGTTTGGGTCTGCCGCGATCTCTTTTCCGGGGAGGAGGCCAAAAGCGTTGGTACGGTAGTTTGGGTAGATGAACATCATGTCGGACGAGCTCGAGACGTTGAGGATCGGGTACGCCGAGGGCGGGATGCCGAAGTAGGCCGACCCCTGGATGAAGCCGCCGCCGTAAAAGGTAACGACAACGGGCTTCAGGGGTTGGCCCTTGATCCAGGGGCGGGAGTAGAGGCCGAGATACAGGCAGTCTTCGGAACCGTTCACCTGCAATGCGTAGTCGACCAGTCAGGCAACTTTTTTTCACCCTACCAACGACTGAGAAAAACCTACCGTCCTCTGAGGGCACATATCAAACGGCTGGCTAGAATCGTAAACGACGCCATCCACAGCCGCCGGGGGCTGCGGTCCCCGGAACCGGTTCTCTCCCACGGGAGGCGCCGCATAGGGGATCTTCTGCCAGTACGAGATGTTGTACTGGTCCGAGTTGGCGCCCTGAAAGTTCCCGTAGTCGAGCTCGGCCAGGAGATGCTGCTGCTGCGCTTGCTCTTGCAGAGCGGGGCCGGAGGTCCTGAAGGCCGCCGTCAGCGCCGTAATCACCGTTGCTACGGTCCCTGAGACGGGCGCCATCTTGCACCGATCGGAAGCCTTTGAGGGAGTTTCCGAGGGGGAGTTCGATGAGGGACTCGAGAGGCTTCAGCAGGAACGCCGGAAACGAACTGGATCGTCTGACTGACGGCGGTGGCTGGAGGATGCTGGCATATATACCGACCTAGAATCGCCCTTCGCCCCGATGGGCCGGGGGAGGAGAGGGGTTACCGGACCAATGATGTAGGTAACAATCTAATCAACCTGTCCAATTTGCACTAGTTTGTATTTCACCCTCCGCCGGCCGGGAACAGAGCCAATTCAGGGCCTCTCCCGGACGAAAGCATCGCGACGGGGGACACACAAGAACAGGAAGAATGTACAAGCTGTCACTGTTTGTCTTGTGCCTGTCGTGCGTGGGGTAGCTAGCGCCGATGGTGGGGTTCCGACTTTGAGGGGGGACAAGCTTTCCCCTCTCTTTCGCTGCCTGGAGCGGGCGGAGCACAACCTGAACCCCGGAATCAGCGATTTTTGGAAAACTGGGGGTGATTGGGGTCGTTCTGTTGGCCGGGGTGTGGGCTCGCTCGTACGCTCGGTCATTCTCCTCAATCATGCCCCGAAAGCATTCGTATGGACGGGCAGGCTCGACGATGTAATTTCTCCGCCGCAACCTTTTTGGCTTCTCGACGGATCAAATGGCATCACCACCCTTCTTGTTCTCTGAGCGACTGTTTGACTCAGCAACACCCTACCTCCACCATTCATACCTCCTACCAAGGGACACCGTCTGCAACTATTCACCAACACACCTTTACCCTGCTGCCTCGGTCTCGGCACGACGCATTCTCACAGCGCCGAAATGGGCTGCTGGCACGAAAAGAATCACATGAGCCAGCCGGAGACCTTCATTGGGTTTTGGTTCAAGCGGATAAACGGAACGCGCCTTTGTTTAATTCTGCAGTTTCTCTTTCGCTTTCATCGACCAATGGGGCAATATTCCTCAACAAAGCAACGAGGGACCCGTCGCCGTGGGACAAGGGATTCCGAAATCGGGGCTCCATTGAACAGAGTTTCGCCTTGCCCACCACCCATGCTCAGCAGCCTCCCCTTCGCTCTACAATAACATACACACACAACCAACAGTCATGTCGACGCCATTCCCGTGTCTCCATGTGACAATGCAACATCCTTCTCGCTGACGAACAAAACATCATTCATGACAGACAACTTCCAGTGCAGGATCTCTTGGTAATGCTGTATCCCATCCTGTCTACTCAAACACCGAACGGACCTGGGTGCCAATGCGGATGTGGAGGCGGAGGCGGAGGAAGCCGCATATGAGGATGCATGGGCGGCGCAGCCGGCCACATAGGCATAGCATGAGGATGCGTCGCCCGTTCCATGGACGGCAGCGCTCTACTACCCAGATCCTCCTCTCTTCGAATCGCTGTCTCGCGCAGCATAAGGGCCGCAACTTCTGGGTGCCCAATAAGGAACTCCGACGTATACTGCGGCGCTCGTTGCCAGAGTAGAGGCTGTAAGAAGCCGACGCGCGCAAATATCATCCTCAACAATGGGTCGGAGTCGGGGACACCGGCGTAGAGCTTCGAACAAAGCTGTAACACAGCTGACTGTGCTGCGTCGGGCCCGGCGGACTCGAGCATATCGATGCAGTGACGCTGAATCACGGTTTTGAAGTCGTCCATGAGGAATTTATTGGCGACGATATACACCTCCAAGCTAAGCTCGTATGTGAGCAAGAAAGTTCGCATGTCTTGGCCGCGTATGCGGTCACCGTCCGCGTACTCGTCTGTGGCAGAGGCTGGCATGCCGACTGAAGGCGTCGACTCTGGCGGTGTGAGGGCTTGCTGTCGGCTACGGCGTCGACCGTGTTGCTGCATGCCTATGGGCCTTACTGCTGGCATATGATTGATGATGTGCGGCGGGAGGTGGCCCGGCATCGGCCTTGTGCGACCGACGCCACAGTTCCAGCATGGCGGTCCGGTGGTTGTGGTGCAGCGCGGACATCTGCAATCTGGGCGGTGTGTCCCTGGTTGTTTTCGGTTCATGCGGTCCCATTGCCGCTCCCGCCGCCGCTGCCGCCGCTGCGCCCGGATTCGACTTCTGGCGCTGGCGTCGCTGGCCTCCGATGATGAGATCTCCGACTCCGACTCGCTTCGGTGGCCGGATTCTTGTGCTTTCCCCGGGTCCGATGCGTCAACATTCAGCGCTGATGCAGCTGGCCTGATAGGCACGAAGCTTCTTTGGTACAGAAAGGCAACGAGGAAGTGGAAGATGGCTGGGTCCTCTTCTGGGAAGTCCATCGATTGCGCGTCGGCTTCTCTGAAATCTCCGCAAAGAGCTTTTCGAAAATACCCCGTCGTTAGCAAGATGTTCCTGTGTACCTGGAAAATCTCTTGATTCGGCGCTCGTCCAACTCGCAAGGGAATGATGGTCGAATTGTACCGGCCATCTGCTGAACTCAGCCACAGATCTTTGCTCGGGCTAGGATCATCTTTCCGTTTCTTTTCTTCGTGCGTCTCGTCGACAACAACGATGTGGGGAAAATCGGTCGGGCCTGCTCTCATCACGTCGCCTAGAGTTCGAACGGCACCATCCGCATCAGCACTGCTCCCTCCACCGCTGCGGGCGCGATTATGAGTGGACATTTCGCAGTCGGTGTATGAAGTAGTTTCAGTCGAGATCTACAGAAATCGTTTCGAGGTTGAGTCTCACGATGTTTCCGGTGGGCTGCAGCAGGTGACCATAAGTGAAATGAACGAGTCGAGTCAAATGACCACGGGAGAACTAGGACAAGAGAAAGAGAGAAATTTGAGAGCGCATTTCGGAGACATGGAACGACCGCTTCATATAGCTTAGATTTGTACCAGACCGAGGTCAGGCAGCCACACCCACAGTTTGATGTAAAAGTCGAACAAGACGGATGAGGGTGGGTAGCTCGGTGGGCGGTGGCTGTCAGACCTTTGTTGGTCGCGAGCCTTCTGGGCGCGACCACCAACTATGGTGAGGCGCATCTCGGTCACTAGAGGCCCGCCGGACAAGACCCTTTCGGGACAAAGTCAGTTTCTTTCCTTTTCCTTTTCCCGCTTCCGCTGCTGTGTAACTCGCGCATGAACCGTTGCGTTATCGCATAGAAGAATCGATTGCATGTCAGGTGTCACCCAGAATTTGCGCCGGGTCACCATTCCTCGATCGGTCATGGCTCACTTCTCTAGCGAACATTCCCGGGAATGCCACCCACCTCGGTCTGCTCTCCATGCACTCCGTCGCCATATGTGTCTGGGTCAGTCGTGGTGTGGGTGCCTGCCTGTACCTATGCGCAGCTCCGGAACGGGACGCACGCAGTTGCTGCACCGTACTGCGGGTGCCATGTGATGAGCCCGAGTTGCGTCTGGTTGTCTTGCACCGTTGCACCTTTTTCGTGTTGGTGGCTGCCGGTCTACGGCTTTGTTCCAAAATCGCGGCTAGTCAGGCCACTGAGGAGCGACGAGAGCCCAGAGTAGCGGTGGGAGCGGACCTCCATCACACGCACTTGTCGCGTTAATATCCGGCCCTGCGAATGCGGTGGGAGGGGCTACCATCCGACGCAATGCAGGTTGGGCCTCTTCGTCACCAATTATTGGCGGATGTGCGGCGGCACGCATGCGCATCTACTGCGGGAGGTGGTAGTAAGAGCCTATGAGCACCACAGCCAACTGCCCGGGTACGATGTACCAGCTTCGCAACGGCTGTGGTGCAGCCCAGCCACGAGGGTGTTTTCGGCCGCTCGAACCGTAACCGACAACCTCCGACAAGCTGGCTATTCCTCCTCGTAGACTTCTTGTTGCATTTGAATACCTGTACGCACGCATAATCAGCTGCTGTGCCAGCCCGACTCACATTCCACCAACGGCGCCGATGTGTCTCTCGGTTTGACTTACGCCATAGTCGGTTGGCCGAGTCCGAGATGACCCTGGCCTTAGCCATGAGTTTCTCTTCGTATTTGATACTTTCCTGCTCCTTGATACGCAGTTTACTCGGTTGAGCCTATCAGATAATGAGTTTGCTGTCAATCACGAGCTCAGTCGTCTGCTTACTTACCTGCATCAGAATTGGCAGAAGCTCACTGGGATCGGCATTTGCGACAGCGGCGATGCTGCGAAACCCGTTCTCCCAAAAGACCCTACTGTTCCATAAAGTAAGACACAATTCCGACGCCTTCCCCGTCCACGCAACTCACGCTGTCCTGCTCTTCACGAAAGTAATTTGCGCCAAGGCCAATAAGTCAGCTTTCGCGCCGGCCCTCAAACGATCTGAAAAGTGATCTAGTGCAGCAGCCATAACGCTGCGCAATGCGATTAGTGACCTACTTTGTGTGTGACAAGTGGCTCAACTCACCCCCAACCCATATGCTCGCAAAATTTGATCATTCCAGCCGCAAACCCGTTGCAAGTTTGGGACAGGGTCTGAACAGCGCCGCGCGGCACATCGTACTTTCGCGCGACAGCGTGGATTGGCATTTCGTTGCACAGGTCTCGTAATTGAAAAGCCATGTAAAACCGGCGGTGTACACGAACTATCTCCTTCTCCTCGGCAGTCGTTTCTTTGAGTGAGCTACCCTGCGCCCTGGTCACGGTTAGCGACATCGGAAAAAGGGCAAGGGGAACATACAGTCGGTTGATCACAGCACGCTTTAGCCCGAGGAACCCGAGAACTCGATGGCCGCTGTCGTCAAGGTTGTACATCTCGTTCCTGAACACCTGCCAGTTGATATTGGTGCCAAAGTCTTGGATGGGTGTGAAAGTGTAAAGGATGTGCATTTCTCCATCCATGACAAATGCCTGGAGCGCGCGTTCCAGTTCCTTGTGAATAAAGACTCCATCATCGGGATCTAACGCAGAGGCTACTATGGCCCTTCCAAGTTTTGTCGGCTGGTAGTTACCACATGCATCTGTGGCCACAAAGCCCATGTTCGTCAGATTTTTTAGGCTGACCTCGACGCAGTCTTGGAGGGACTTCAAAGAGCCAGAATGGCTCAACAAAGTCCTTGTAATGTACTCATCCAGCGCATCTCTGCTTGTTGCTAATCGTATGGCAATGACCTCTAAAAGCGCCCTGGATGTTGTTAGCATGACGGAGGCCATTGTACGTCTATGCTGAATCTCTGACCTTTGAATTCGCTGCTTGTCCGTCATCAGACCGCTTGTGATCTTTGGCATCTCGGCATGCATCAAGTCGATGACCTGCTCAAGATCATCCTTTCGGCAGCAAAGGTAGGTTTCTCCGACTTCGTCTTTTCCCTTTCGGCCGGCCCGTCCACGCATCTGCCTCAGCATCGATGGCCCAACGAAATCTCTTCCCATGCGAGCATTGTGAAGGATTACTCGTCGTGCAGGTCTCAGAACTGTCAGCAAGACTACCCGCGATTATGACATATCTCTAGACGTACAAGTTTATGCCGGCTGCTAAGCTGCACGTTGCTATACACACTTTGAGTGTTCCGACATCGTAGGCATTGGCGATGATGTCCCGTTCTTCAGTGGTGAGACCAGCCTGTGACGTTTAGCTTCTCGTCCGACGACACGGCAACCACGTAAACTGACATCTGGATGTAGATGTGTTAGTTGCTAGTCTTGGAAATATTCTCTGGGTAGACCTACGGTGAAAGGCAACGCCCATTGGTACTGTCTCTTCCAGGACAGGATCGATGCCCGTCCCGAGACTACGTAGCTCGGCCATCAGCTCATTTCTCTTCTCAATTAGACCAGGATCGAGCTCGAATTGCGTCGGCATGACTTTAGCAATCCAGCGGGCATCTGCTTCACAGCCGTAGCGGCTGCTAGCGAAGACCAACGCGCCGTACCCAGCTTTAGCAGTCTCGCTGGCAAGCGAAACAACAGCATTTAACACGGGATCCTGGAATACCTTATGGCTGGAGGGCTCAATGCGTCTTATAGCTCTAGACGCCGGCTGATGAGTCAAAGCGTTGAGATTCTTTGCCGTTTTGAGCAGCTCGCTCGTCGTGGCCGCTGGGTACACGTTGCCTTCGTAAACAAGGTGTTCTTCGATTGGCACCGGACGATAGCGCGTCTCGTATGAATGAGCCCCTAGCCAGTTAGCCAAGAGACCGATATTCTACAGATGTAAGTCAGGGTATGTTCTGGACGAAGTCATGCAACGATGTCGCACCCACAGACATGGTGGCGCTCATGCCGATGATTTGCACGGGCTGAGGCAGGGTAAGCAGCTTGGTTCCCATCAACTCCATAAGATATCCGCGATGATCATCGTCAATCATATGAAGTTCATCTAAGACAACCGCCTTGAGGTGCTTGATTGTGAAATCGTCGATCGCCGTGTTGACAAGTGCGTTTGCCTACCAGGTCAGAGTCAGCCTGATCCAAGTCGTAGGCGGTGCGCCCCCACCTTCTCTATAGTACACACGGCAATTTCAAAATCGGACCAAGTGGATTTGATCTTGCTTCCCCCAAAGAAGCCAATGACTCTGATCGTGTCCTCGTCGGCTCGCCGCCTCCAGATGCGTTTTTCATCGTCAATCTCATCTTTAGGTTTCGCTACGCCCTGGACAATGTTTCGCAGCCAGCGAACCTTTTCTTGGACCAGTGCAACGTACGGCAGAACTAGAAGAGCTTTGGAGTTTTTTTCTTCGAGGACTCTTTTCAACATCAACACTGTTGTTTAGTCAGTTTGGTGTCAACAACATTGGTGGGCGAACTTGCCGTCAGCCACAAGAGACTTTCCGCCTCCGGTCGGAGCACTATAAACGAGGTTTCTTTCCCCAGCAAGCAGTCCTGGTCCCCGGAGACATGCCTTTTGCCATGGGTACATGATTTTGATACCTAGGCTGTAGAAATTGCGGACCAATGATCGAGGAAGACCGTAGAAAGGATGGGCAAGAGCAAGCAGCGGGTCCGAAGATGACGATGGCGTTGACTGGAATTCTCTTCGTTGTGTGTATTCAGATGGACCTTGAGTAGCCACCAGGCTCAAGGAGATGATCGGGCTCGCTGTGAGCTTTGGAGGGCCAAGAGGTAAACTTGACGCTCTCTGCACTAGTGAGGTGTGGCGAGGCAAACTTGTCGGCTTCGGTGCCATTGGATGCGCAGACTCTGCACGAGGTCGTTTTTGCCCAGTAATCGTTGGGATGGTGTGATAGCCTCGACCCTGCTCCTCGGCGGCCTCAACGGATGTTTTGTGCCATGTGCCGTTATTGGCGGCCATTGTGATGCAAGATATTACCAAATATCAGAATGCAATCCATGGGAATGGGGCAAATGCAAATTGGCATCAGGAAAAAGCAAAGGCGACAAAAACAAGAGCAAAGAATGAATGAGACGGGCTCCGAGGTAAGACTTGGACGTTCTCAATGGGACAGCACCACGGACAGGCAGGTATCCCCTCTTAATGATTGCAACACTTATTACTAAAAATAGGGAAAGCGCGTCCTGCAGACCGTGTCAAGGCAGCAGCAGGGATGACCCACCTCTGCTGGGCCACGCGAAATCATGTGTCGGATGGTGGTATTACCTCAGCAGTAGCGCCACGACGGGAGACGGTCGGTTTATGTGCCGCCCGAAATTTAGCCAGGAGGTGGAAGTGGAAGTCTAGCGACTGGATTAGGCCGACCATGTCGTTACCTCAGTACGTACTCTGCACCGGCCAGACCGCCCCCACTTAAGGCCGAGCCACACTTCACACACCCCGTTTGGTGGAGGATCCGTACACTCTTGCCTTGCGTGGCTGATTACTCCACGGACCTGACGTGTCATTGACCTTCATCACTGTTGCAAGATTCATGGGATCGGGGCCGACTGGGTAAAAATCGGACTAGATAACCTTGGACCGATGGGGGCTGCGGCTGCTCCAAGGAGAATTTAGATTTTGAGGGGAGACGAGGTTCGCTTGGCGCTGGGGGGGGGGGGGGGGGGGGGTGGCGGGGGGGGGGGGGCGGGGGGGAGGGGCGGGGGGGGGGGGGGAAGGGGGGGGGGGGGGGGGCGGGGTGAGGGGGGGTGGGGTGGGGGGGGGGGGGGGTGGGGGGGGGGGGGGGGGGGGGGGGGGGTGCTTGTCTAAGCTGCAAGAGAAGAGACCAGACGGATGAGATCGGGGGGGCGGAGGAAGATGTCTAGTGTAGTCGCATTCGAGAGACGGAGAGCACGAAAAGACAAAGGGCAGGACAGAATAGAACAGATATGTAACCGTGTGTCGGTGGGCAGGGGATCCGATTCTTTTTAAGAAGCACCAGAAAGATGGCCCAGCCCCAACCATCAGGAACCCGAACCGCACCGCAAGACAATTCGCGTGGGCGAAGGATGATCCAGGTTTCCAGAGCCAGCAATTACCATACGGTATTGGAAAGCATCAGGGTGGTGGTCCCCAAGGCTTGGCTTTTGGTGAGGAACCAGACCCTGTCGCAGTATGGGCAGGGATCATCAATTTGGCCCCACACATTCCTTAACGCTCCGTCATGGCCTACCACCAGAAGTGATCACGACCCCATCTTTTTCAAGTGACGAAGATGGTTAGCTAGGACAGTGTCCTTTCCACGCCTTCTTCGACGACCGACACTTCCGCTGACGTAGATGGAAGCTATTCGTCGACCAGGCGGATGCAGTGAGCCAGTATATGTTTCGTTCGACAGCTTAATGGCTGCGCCAAGGGTCGTCAGCCCAGTCAGGCATATTCTAAGGTGCCTTTGCGCTATAGACCTCACCTTGCATCTTTTCCGCACCAAGACAGAACTGAACTGTGCAGCCAGCATCAGACCTCAACTAAGCATGCCTCGTGCATGCTTGGTGTGCAGTGTTGGCCTTGGAGCAGAGATGTGCTGTGTGCAGCGTAGTTATTTCGGCTTAGGCCCTACTTCGAGATCAAATATCGACATCTCAAGCAACGGCGTCAATGACTCGGCACATGGCCGTTGGCCCGATGTGGTGGGCGATGGCCTTGTGTGCCTCGAAGTGCTGGTTGTTAACACGAATCTTAGTTACAAAATGCCGCGCTCTCCCACAAAGTTGCCCATTCCCCCTCGATGAAACGGGACGGGGTCCAAGGCAGTGCCTGGCTTAGAAGCCGGTGAATTGGGAGAGATTGGAAATGGCCGGGAATGCGCTTGTTGCTGGATAGCGATCGGCCCCCTGGCAACATATGGCATGCGGTGCACTTTTTTTTTTGTCTCCCCCCTCTTGTGCCGGACCAACCGACAAATGCGGTCAATCTCATCTGGTTTTTCTGACGTCCCCCGTCTGCTGCCGGTGCGCGCCAACGACCACTGCGCAACCGATCGCGAAAGTCACTGCTGCCAGATGGTTCCAATCGCCGCGGCAGTCGACTCGAAGCACTTCTATGGCTGTTTCAACTGTTCCATCCCCTTAGATTGCTAGATGCCCCTTCCCCGGCAAATATGCAAAGCTGCGCGCCATGCTGATGAGCAGGCGCTAGATTGACTCGTGGACGAACTGTCTGTGTTTCCCAGTACTCCGAGCAAGGTAGCTGGTTCAGTATGGGATGGGATTTCGTGGACATTGCTGAGAGCCTCAGGAGAGAGAATCTCTGCATATTCCGGTCGCTGGAGAAAGCAATCGACGGCGACCTTGGGAATACCTAGATGAATTTGGAGGGAAAGGCGCCCGCAGGAAGAAAGACGTGGCTCATTCGTGGTTCGGCTCTGGGGATGCGCAATCCAGGCTCAAATTGGCCAGCCAGCTGCTTAGACGCCTTGTGGGCGCCCACGCCCGTAGTCGATTGCACACCGTGGAGTGCGTTCTCCTCGCCACATTAGTCGTGCTCGCCGAGGCTTGCCCCCGTTTGTTTCGCGCGATGCGGTCGCTGCCGCCGATGGCTTGCGGCGCGGTCGTGGCCCAAGCTGCGCGAGGCAGCGACTTCATTCTGCGATATGCTGGACACAGTTCTGCGCAAAACTCATCCCTGACGAATCGTATGGGAGTTGGAAGGACACACCAATGGCAGTCCCTCAAGCCTCCGAGCCAGTTTCCCTTGAGGTGAGATCAGGCCTTTTCAAGTCCCTCATCTTCGTCAGGATAAGGTACGTTCAATTTGTCTTAGGTAAGGTACCTTAGATACGTACCTAGGGTAGCGTTGCAGCTTCTGACATGGGAGAAGAACGGTACGTGCCTCGTTAGTCCTCTGCCAGCGGTCCCTTGCGGCTCCACTCCGACTTCGAAGTACATTGAGGATGTATCTCTCCAATGTGCCTTATAGATAGACCTCAGCGCGCTGCGTCTCCGTGCCAGGAGGTACTGGGTCGGCCTGGCTCGTGGTTTGAACTTTGAAACACATCGTAGTATTGATTGCGCTGATGTGTCTTCAAACCGGACGGTCGTCAGAAACGTCAACGGGATATTCCAAGATTTCAAAGATTGCGGGAGCGGGAACGAGTGTGCCTCGATCTCATCTGTACCCCCGAAGTACATTGCCTGGTGGTGCGTACGCCCTGCCTCGGAAGCTGGGCGGGCAACGGTCGGCATCTGACTGTTGATGCACCTCTCCCATGCCTTGCTGTCCAAGACCACCACCCTCTCTCTACCTCGCGTTATTTGGTAGTGACGGAAAACTAGGTCAACAAGCTGAGGCAAGGAGGATGCACCGACCGATTTCAGCTGTGGTGTGCAGAAACTTTCTAGTGTTTTCAAGTTAATAGACGATGACACAAGTCCGTCCTGCAGATGTCATACCCAAGGGTAGGGCAAGCGCACAAGCTGGAGTCCGATGCAAAGCTGATCAAGGCCGCAGGGTGGTCTGCCACCATGGAACACGGTAAAAAAATCCCGTTCTCTGCGCCATGTTCAAATTGCTCACTTGCAGAATAGCATTCCGTTTGAATCGGCAGAACAGAAACTGGCAGCGACACATCATTGAGGGCGTGGGCGTGGGCGACCGGCTTGGGTCGCAAATGGAGAATGTATCCCACAAAGGCATCTCAACGTAGTCTTGACCTAGCATGGCGCTCGTCCAGTGCCAGTACTAGTAGATGAAAGATAATCCGATAATCCGGTTCAATGCCAGGTATAGCAAAACTGGTGCACGATGGAAGAATCCGCCGAGAGGTGATGTTCAGATTAAGAAAAAGGCGAGGGTGGCAGAAAAGGGTATTCGATACGGATACCGACGGGGCATTGGAAGCGGTGCCGTGATAACCTCCGGAATTTGTACCCCCCATGTCGTGCATATGACAGTGGCAGGGTTTATGTACACATTACCAAGCTCTGTGCGAGAAACAGTGGTAGGGAATGGTGAGTTGACCCTGTCGGTCAATTGTTCGAAGTCATGCTATGACCTATTGGAAAGGGAAAGAAAAATTGGATATTGGGGGTTAAAAAGAGAAACCAAGGGAAGACAGCATACGTACGAAGTTGGGTGTCATCAAAGAGGCACCATCCCATCCGGCTGATGTGCCGAGCCAGATGAGCCAAAGGTGATTATGCGGGCACAGTTTTGCGGAGAAGAAAACCCTTTGATCATTGATGATAATTACCGGTCAATATCAGCGACAAACGTAAAGAATGCCAGGAAGCAGAAACAGGGCCGACCGGACAGGCGTCTATTCAAGAAAGCGAGAGAGAAGGATGAGAAGGCAGATGGCGAGAGCAGGAGGTGCTGTTGATTTGATATTGGGGTGGGCGGCCAAGAGCCACTGAGCATCCCAGGAGGTGGGATGGAAATGGAGCCGACGCACATGGGTGATGACGGGGGTATGGACGACATCTCGTGGGCACATCCCTACGTGGTAGGGAGCCCTTCGTTTCCACAGGGTTGGACAGGCCGGGGTGCGACGAACCAAGGAAGGGAATCGAAGGAAGAAGCGGGCGAGTCGTTGAACTATGAACATCAGCAGCTGTCAATTAGCAAGCAACAATGAGAGGATACGTGAGCCCATGTTAAGCTATGGTCGCTTCCGTCCGGGTCTGCGTCCGCATCTGCCTGTATGGCTGCTTGTCAATAGATTGAGAGCGTGAACGATTTCGTGGCGGCTTATCGAGCAAGACATTTATCTGGGTTGACTGGGTGGCGCCAGATGAGGCACATTTGAGGTGTAGAATGACGGGATAGGTGAGGTGGGAAGGATTCTGGATATCGTAAAGGGACAAAAAGGCATACGCGACTGGCCAGGGCATGAGGATGGGAACGCAGAACGAAGGGTTGGTTGGTTGGGGAAGGCGGGCGACGTCAAAACTGCAAGGGAAAGTGCCAAAACAGATGGTGAGATGGAGGGACATGATGGACATGGTAGTGGCAGTTAACAATTTGCGCGGGAGAAAAGGCAACCACCTCAAGGTGCTTTCCCGTACCTTACCATGACATGTCCAGGCAATGAATGGTCTTGTGCCGCGCTGCGGTGCGTGTCTGCCAAAGTACTTCCACGCCAAGTACTGCCTGTGTAGGACCCCGACCCATACCCAGACCTAACGAGCCAGCCAGCCCCGGCCAGCCGGCTGCTTGAACGCCAACGTCGTCAACTTGACATGGTCGTGAGTGAAGCTAATTGAGGTTGCTGACACCTCGGGATCGATGAGGCCAAGTTGCTAGCGAGCGTTGATAGCATATTGTGCAAAGTAGATTTATTCAGAATTGATTCGGCAAGTCGGATGGCAAGAGATGTGGTCGGGGCAAGGTGTCTGATGTCCGATGAAGGCAGGGTAGCGTATGCACGGAGAACGGGTACCAGCCAAGGTACGTCAATACTTTAGCTAGCAAGCGAGCGAACGAGTGAGCGGGATTCGCAGAGACAGAGACATGCCTACTTTGCTACCTTAGTTACCTTAGACAGGGACAGGAGACGGAGACCACAAAAGAGAAAGAGGGCGCACGCGCGGAGGGACAGACGTCGCCTCATGTCGGTCTTGGGCATCGTCCACACACTATCTCTTACCCTCTTACTTCCACCCTGTTTCTATCTCTCTTTTTCTGTGGAATATTTAGGGGACAACCTAACCTTCGAAGTGCTGCTCTCAATCAGTCTCTCCTTCCCCCCTCCCTCCTACAGGCAATCACGCACGCACAAACCTCTGCGGACGCGGCCGAGGGTAAAGATGGTGGGCTTTGCTTTGGATGTGTTCCGGGCCAGACCCTCCAAACCGATCGGAGAACCAGAGCGAAGAGAGACGCAGAAAGTATGGCGACGATCTGATAGAAGGAACCGGGAGGTGAGATGGACGGGGGGGCGTGCGGTTGGATTCTGCGGCGTTGGCAAGCTTGTGGTGAGGTGTGAGGTTGCCGGGCCCTTGCCCGGCCTTTGGTGCGAGAGTGATGACTGCGGGAGCGGGTACAGAAGTACAGAGTGGATCCCTCTGTATCATGCAGGTCGTGGGACGTATCCGATACCCCTTTGCCTTGCAAATTTTGCGTGAGGACACGAGTAGCGTTCCCCGACCTGTAGTAGATCGATACCTCGCACCTCCCACGCAGCCCCATCCGCAGGAAAAAAAAAAGCGAGGGGGGCCTGCTGCTGCTTTCTCTCACTCTGGCTCTCTGCTCCTGCTTCTGTTGCTGATGTTGCTTCTTTCCTGCTCCCGCCGCCGCCCTGCTGGCCCAGACGGGACTGGAGAGGCATTACCTTAAGATAGCTTACCCTACCTTAGCATTGGTCTGTCGGTACGCAGGTACGTAGCCGCAAGGTACATTTCCAGACTTTCATATGGAGGTGCTCTCTCCTCCCTCGCCCCCCATCCTCCCATCCTATCCCATCAAGTCCTGGGCCCTTACCCCGTGTGTGAGTATCTCACCACAGAACAGCCGAGGAGAGGTACGTCCACTTCATTGCGGTGCGACGGTGGAAGCCCATCGCAGCAGTCTCCGTAGCGGCAGCAGCCCGGATTTATGGATAAGGCAAGGCAAGGGCAAGGCAAGCCGCAAACCAGGTAAGGGTAGGTAGGTCGATGAGGTAAAGACGGGTCAGGTGCAGGTCCGTCGGTGCTTGGTGCTTGGTGCTTTGCTTTGCTTTGCTTTGCTGTGGTTGCTGGACCAGGACCTGGACCTGGACCTGGACGGAACTTGGTGCCATGCCGGCGCTGCTACGAAAGGTACACCGTACACCTACACACCTCAGAGTAAAAGGCAGGTACGGGTCGGTCGACCTTCTTCGAACGTTTCTTACCATTTTGCCTTCCGCTTGTCTGGGCCTACCGTAGACCCGCCTTCTTCTTCTCCTTCCTTCCTTTCCACATCACTTCCTCCCTGGCCCATCTTGACCACCTTCACAAACACGGCCGATTTTGGCTCTGCCCGGCCCCATTGCTTCCCGTCCTTCCTCCCTGGTCGCGCGGAACCTTCGAACCGTCCTCGTCTGTTTTCTGCCTACTGGGGTCCCAGCTTCTCACTCACACTCACCCTTTCCTTCCCCATCTCGTCTCTCACTCACATTCTCATTCATCTACACACCACACAATACCACCACCACCATCACCACCGCCAAACCCAGACGCACATCTCTACATCTACCGCATTCATAAACCCGAGTCCCATATTCGCTCGCGTCACTACCAGTGCGCGCCTTCTCCCTGCGACTTCCTTTTCTGGCTGCTAGACCTCAAGCCTATTACATATATCTTCCCTCTCTCAAACTTGACTCTGTCACCCGCACATATCTATCTCCATCCCATGGGTTGCGTCTGGCCCACGGCCGCCTGCCTCACCGGATAAGTAGACGTCGGGTTCCATCTGGCTCAGCCTATGGATCGGAGCCTCCGCCGCCTTGCAGACGAACTTCAACCTGTCGGCCCTCTTGCATCTCGTCACCCGCGGGAAGGGCCCCGACATATTCCATCTCACTTCCCGCCAACGCGCAGCTAGCCACCACCATCATGGCACAGAAAAACCAAACCGCCAGCAGTTCTGACGACCAATCTGCCAGCGCCACACCGTCTGCACAAGACGCCTCGGATTCCACGCAGCCTGCCACTTCGGGCGCGTCAACATCCAAAGCAGTATCTGCCGCCCAGAAATCACACCAGACCGAGCTGGACGCCGCCCTTCGCAACGCTCAACCCACCAACAAGTCGTCTGCCATGGGCTTGGACCAGTCTTCAAAGGACGCCGCCGCCATTGAAGCTGCAAACCCTTATGGGACGCGATCACGAAATCGCACTGGCTCATCGCGCCCAAACTACGCCGAGGACAAGGATCTCGATGTCGACATGTATGATTATGCCCCCGAGAAGAAGGATCAAGAGTCCAAGAAATCGGCGCGTCACAGCAATGTGTCGGCCGCGTCCATCCAGGAGAGCGCGCGACCCAACGGCTCAACCCGCAAAGCCCTGCCATCTGACGACGCAAAGTCGACCGCTCCTCAAAACGGAGCAAAGGACGTGCAGCCAGCAAATTCCACCCCAGCAACGCAAACATCGGCATCGACAAACCCGTCACAACCCTCGAAAAAGCGCAAGGCGGCTTCACACGCCGCAACTGCGACTTCTCAGGCTCATGCTTCTGCGACGACATCATTGCCTGGCGCCGGCATGGGGGCATCACGAAAAACGGTGTCGGGTCCTTACGCTAGCTCTTACGCAGAGACGAACATGCTCAGTTTCGAGAATTCCGGTGCAGTCCCCAGAGACGGAAAGTTGGTGGCGGATGACGGTACCGTACTAGCACCCAATGGTAAGACAGCAACAAACCACACACGCACCTTCACATACCCTCACTCATCTTTGTGCCCTGTCCCATTTTTTTCCTTCTTCCTGGGGAGGATAGCTCGCTGATCTAGATTTACAGACAATGTCTATCTCGTGTGTGAGCCTCCGGGCGAGCCATACTACCTGGGCCGCATCATGGAGTTTCTCCACACGCAGAATGACAACACCAAGCCGGTGGATGCACTTCGCATCAATTGGTTCTACCGGCCCAAGGACATCGGCAAAAAGGTCAATGATACTCGATTGGTGTTTGCGACGATGCATTCCGATATCAGTCCTCTGACGGCATTGCGTGGTAAATGTCACATCCTGCACAAGGCGGAAATTCCCAATATGGACGAATACCGAAAAATCTCGGACAATTTCTGGTATGAAAAGCTGTACGACCGCTACATTCAGAAGAACTACGATCTCATCCCTACATCGACTATCGTGAACGTCCCTGAGAGGGTGAAGAAAGTGCTGGACGACCGCTGGAAATTCGTTATTGTGGAGCAGGGCCGCGGAAAAGAGTTCACTAGCGCGGTGAAGTCCTGCAAGCGATGCAGCGGCTACTGTGCAAGGTTAGTCCACCCACGCCGGAGTCTCACGGAGAGTTGGGTCGCTGATAGCATTACAGCAATGACTCGGTCGATTGTGCTGTGTGCAAAAAGACATACCACATGAACTGTGTCAGGCCGCCCCTGCTTAAGAAACCCTCCAGAGGCTTCGCCTGGTCCTGCGCTGCGTGTAGTCGCGCGCAGGAACGAAAATTAGAGGCTCGGCACACTCCTAACCCTAATAGTCTGAAGGAGAATGCCGGCGATGCTGATGATGAGGATTTGTATGATGACGACGACGATGAGATGCAAATTGACACCGAACGAACGAGTCCTGCCGATGACGACGAAGCCCATCGTACCGGCACTGCGGAGCAGATCTACCAAGCCAGCCTCTGGCCTTGGCGGTATCTCGGAATGCACTGCAGGCCCGAGGATGCCCTTGATTACGACGACCGAATCTACCCCCGCGCAAGCACTCGCATAGGTCCCAAACATCAAGCCACTGTGCTTCCTTGGCCCGGTAAGCCTGTACAGTATCAAAAGCCTCTTGAATTCAAAAGAACCGGAAAGAAGGGACCCGGACTGTCGAAGGAAGCGCTTGCCGCCCTTGAGGCCGAGAAAGTTCGACGTGAGAAGCGTCCCAAGTGGGTTCAGGATGAGCCCCCAGGTTATGTGGCGAGAGGAGAAGATGGCGACAGGGACGATCCGAATGCCACGGCTACACGCCTTTGGGCGCCTCCCCCAGCAGGTGAGAAAAGCGCTGATTGGGAAGCCGAAATCGACCGGTACATGAAAACGGCGGAAAACCTAGCGCCCAAGTTCGGTCTGCCGAATAACTCGACCAATCTGCACGATGTCGCTTTGGAGACATATTTCCATAGTAGTTACAACGAAGACCGCGCGCTGAAACTGTTCTCGGAAGTGGACAAGTCGGCTTTCAAAGAACCCGAGTTGACGGCCACGGAACAGAAGAGGTTCGAAGAAGGCGTCGGCAAGTATGGATCCGAGCTTTATCTCGTCAAGCGACACGTCAAGTCTCTTTCACCGGGAACGATTGTGCGATACTACTACACCTGGAAGAAAACTCAGCAAGGCAAACAGATTTGGGGAAATTTCCAGAATAGGAAAAGCAAGAAGGAGGCCAAGAAGGCCGAGGTTGCTGCAAGCAAGTTGCAGGACGACATCGCCGACGATGCAGATGACTCCGCGTTCGATGGCGACAAAGCACAAAGCAAAAAGAAAGGCTTCATGTGCAAGTTCTGCCACACCAAATATTCCAGGCAATGGAGGCGGGCTCCCAACGCATCGGGAACACCCATCAGCGAGGGAGGAGGCAAGAATGCCAGCAAGGACAAGGGCGGCCAGTACATCCAAGCCCTTTGTCGCAGGTGCGCGGAGCTCTGGCGGCGCTATGCTATCCAATGGGAAGATGTGGATGAAGTCGCCAAGAAGATCGCTCAGGCCGGTGGTCGAGCCTGGAAGAAACGACAGGACGAGGAACTGCTCAAGGAACTCGAGGCAGCCAAGGAAATGCATACTTACTGGAACACTCCTCCGCCGGTCACCGCTCCGGAGCCGGCTGCAGCAGTCCCAGCGGCACCTTCGAGTGAACCTCCGCGGAAGAAGCTCAAGGGAGCTGCCCCGGAGAGAGACTCGGAGCCGCTCGCCTCAGATTCGGCTCCCGCTGCCGCGCCTCCAAAGAAGAAAGAAAAGGCGGTCGAGAAACCGGCGCCTCCACCAGTCCCGGAAATTCCGAAGCCCAAGACTATGCCTTGCGCAATTTGCGACCAGTTGGAACCCTTGGGAGATCAGCATCTCTCGTGTCGGGAATGCCGGTTGACAGTCCACCGCAACTGCTATGGTGTTGTCGAAAACAGGAACCCCGGCAAATGGACCTGTGACATGTGTGCCAACGACAAGAGTCCACAGGTTTCAATCGTAAGTTGCTTACCGCCTTTGATTAAGTGTATTCGTATGCTAACGTCTGGACAGCAATATAAGTGTGTCTTGTGCCCCATTGAACACACTGAGCACGATTTTGTTGAGTCATCCAAAATCTCTACTTCCAAGAAGAAATCCGAGAAGGAAAAGGAGCGCGAACGAATGGAACGAGAACAGGCACAAAAGGCTGCAGACTATTACAAGAAAAAACAAGAAGAGGCCAACCGCCCAGTCAACCCTCGGGAGCCGCTGAAACGAACTGCAGATAACAATTGGGTTCACGTCACCTGCGCTGTTTGGACACCTGAGGTTAAGTTTGGCAATGCCAAGGCTTTGAGTCCATCCGAGGGCATCCCTTCTATACCTCGTGTCAGGTATGATGAAGTTTGCCAGGCTTGCAGTCACAAAGGTGGTGCTTGCATTATTTGCCATCATTGTCGAGATCCTAGTCAGTACTGCTCTTTCAAGTCCTCTTGACGCCTGCTAATTACTGTGCCCAGTTCATGTTGAATGCGCTCGCCAGCGAGGCTACCTCCTAGGCTTTGATATCACTCCCGTCAAGGGATCTCGCCGTGACCAATTCAATCTCGTCACCATCAACGGCGAAACTGGTGTCATGTCAGCCGCAGTTTGGTGTAAAGAGCATGTTCCAACAAAGAGCGTCATCCATCGGATGCACGACATTGTTAACGAGGATGGCCTCAATGCTCTACAGCACTATGTGCAGAGCTACAAGCAGGCAGATCTCACCTTGACTGGCACAGTCAGAAAAGCCAACCTGATGACGAACGCTGCCAAGATGGGAGGTGTTCCTTTGACACCAAGCACTCGGCGAGCATCGACCACGACTGTGCCTTCCAACGGCGTTTCTCACATTGCAAACAGCGAAACGCTGAGCAACCACCAAGCAGGAGAGAAGATATGCATTACCTGCGGCATTGACGTCGCTCTCAAATGGTGGCCCATCGAGAACTCCGATGAGCGAGAACTGACCAATGGCCACTACGGAAGCCTTGGCTCAGAGGCTCAGAAGTTTGTCGAGCAGAGAAAGTTCCAGTGTCATAAGTGCCGCAAACTGAAGAGGAAGCCTAATCCCCATCCACCAAAGGATCCATCTCCTGTAATCGAAGCCACGAGGTTGGTGCCACCCCCACCTCTTCCAGTTGTTCCGCCGCATCACGCTCTGGCGGCACCTCCTCCGCCCTTGAGGAGCCCACCGACGACCGGCCCGGAGGCCAGAGCTCGCAGTCTCTCTGCGTATGCCTGGGTAGCTCCGGCACCCCCTCCACCGCCGCCTGCCTCACAGCCTGCGGCTCCGCATCCGCCGCCTGCGCCCGCCCCGCCGCCAGTCCAGGCCGCTGCCCCGCCGCCGCCAAATCCGCCTCCAGCTCCTCATCAAACTCCCGGCCCCTATGGGCCCCCTCCGGCGCCAAGATACGGAGATTGGAACAGTCGCCCACCTGCTCGGCATGGATCGCCACCACAGCGTCCCCCTTTTCAACCATTGGCTACTCTACGTCCGCCGCCAATGATGCCGATGGCGATACCATCTCCGCATACCCCCATACCAACAGCTGTTCCCAATGGACACATGGGCCAGCCTCCGCACAACGTAATGCCACCTTCACCTCTGATGGCAGGGCCTATGTCTCATGGATCCCATGGTCCACACGGTTCGCCGTACATGCACTCTTTTCGGCAACCCCCCCACGGATCACCTCTCGGTTTACCAAATGGCGGACCTCCACCAAGAGGCCCTGAGGCGTTCGCGCAGGGACTCTTACCGCAGCGAGCACCATACAGCAGCCCTCCTGCCCATGATGCCGGAGGTCCGTTGAGGACACCTGGCATGCGCCCATCCAACGAGCCGCCTCGACCAGCTGGAGCTAGCACAAGTCCTTCTCTACGTAACTTGCTCTCCTGAGGGTATGCGACAGGTTGCTTTCAATGTGCGATGTTTGGGAGTTTTGGAGGATGGCACGAGGTGTAAGGAATGACTGAGTTCAGAGCTAGAGAGCGGAAACCCCGCCTCGCTCGTGTAGATTATGCGTTTCGTTCAGATGCGGGGAAAACTTGTGTCAACTGACAGACGCAACGTCTTGTGATCGCAATTGGCCGCACGGAGATGGCCAACGGAATGGGATGTATTCATCACGCGAAGCGCGTTTGCTAGATGTCCTATTGTTGAATAGAAGAAGTTCTTAATCAATGCTGCAGCTCGAGGCTCTAGCCAACGTTGTGCGCGATCGTATGTCGATTACTAGCCATGCGTGGTCGTTCAGCTACGGCTTTTGGTTCATTCCTCCCCAATATCCTCGTTCCTATGGAGCCAAATCAGTATATCTACCAAAAGTGATTTAATCGAGGGTTTCTACAACGGAAACTCTTACCAGATTTCAGGCTTTTCAGCAATGAACTTATCCATGAGAGCCTTGCACTCTTTGTTGTCAACAACAACGACTTCGACGCCGCGCTGCTTGAGATACTCCTCGCCGCCGAGGAAGGTCTTATTCTCGCCAATGACGACGCGAGAGATACCGTAGAGCAGACAGGCCCCGGTGCCTTGAAATATCGCGATCCAGTGTCAGAAGCAGGAGACTGTACAGGAGATGTACATGGTTGGGAACTTACACATGTCGCAGGGAGAAAGAGTAGTATACATTGTGCTGCCTTTATATGCCTTTCCGGGCAGGCGGCCCGAGTTAAAGAGGGCATCGGTCTCGCCCTGGTTCGAACTTGTGTGAGTGTTGTAATCGTGGTTGGGTTTTGGGGAAACATGAGATCAATAAAGTTGGGAATTTGGTCGAGGGGTTGCCTGGCTTACATGGTGGATGGCGGAACCCATCTGGACGCGGCGGTTGTGACCGCGGCCGAGGAGCTTGCCATCTGCGGACACAAGAGCGGCTCCGATCTGGGTACGGTTGACCGCGGGGTCGGCGTCAGTTGCGGGGGAAGGGTTGATATTTTGGAAGACGGAGGTTGTGTGGTGATACGTACCGGGACACCGCCCTCCAAGGCGCCCGTCTTGGCCTCCTCGATTGCGATGGCGAGACCCTCTGTGTCGTTCATGGCTTTGGTGGAACTGGATGGCGAAACTACGATTTTGAAGTTGAGATGGCTTTGATAGAGATACGAACGAAGTGGGGGCGGGGTTATTTTGAATTTTGGGGGGAGTCTCACGTTGAGTTGGTTTGCTCTGGACAATTGCAGAATTATGCCGCAACCTTTTTTTTTTTCTTCGGAAAAGCAGGAAAACAGTATCGAGAGAAAGACGCTAAGTCTTGTTGCTGAGTGTGTTTTGAGTACAATGGAGACTTGGTGACCGGGGCGGTTGCGGAGACTGGAGTGGCGTATGAGATGATTCGATCTGGGGACATCCTTATCTGGGACTCCACTTGGTGGTGATGGATTCTCATCATCATTAGACTTACGACACTTTTAGAACCTTCTAAACTGTGAGACGAGAGGGCTTCACCACAGTATTTCTGAAGAACGTGTGCTGGTCTTGATGATGGGGTGGGTACTCAGGGTTATACTCGGGAATATGTGCCATTGCAACCCCAACATGGGACAGTAGGTTGTCATCAGGTTTTCGTCCGTGTGATATGCCACGTTATGGGTGATTCAGTAGTCGAATGTTTGTAATGGTTGGATGTAGAGACTAAGGAAATTCAATTTCGAACCCGAATATAATATGTTTCACACCCTTCAAATGTCTGCTATTTCTCAGTCTTCCAGGCCTATCATTTTATTATCTATCGAACAGCCAGGCTTTTCTGTCCATATGACTGTGCCCCGATGGGTTCGTTGAATAACGAATGCGATATCTGCAGGTTTAACGGGCGCTATTTTGTCCATGACTATGAAATGTGCCGGACTGTTCTTAACCTAGTGTAGAGGCCATCGAGTTGACAGAGCGATCAAGGCTTCATCACCTCGCCTATGAACCTCCTCTTGATAACTGAAGTGCGCCGAATGCGGCCTAAACTATCGCCGTAGTTATCCCTTCAATTTTTTTTCTTCGATGAAGGGTGGTGGTGAAGGTGAAAATTGCTTCTCACTTCCTCTAAGAAAAACTCATGGCCAACTGAGCCCTTTCCATGGTAATTTTCTCGTATTTCTAAAACCCATTCATCTTGTGAAGTAAGTGGCGGCCATACGAATCTTATTGACTTACTGTAGTAGGAAGGCGCACACCGGCTATGATGGGTTTCTCAGTCAATAATCTCATAGTCATGGCGAAGATAGGAGATACTTTGCATGCCATGCCTCGATAAATGAAATCTAGAATTTGCAGCAACGTCCAAGTTTATGAGGCTTCCGCAACATATTAACACCCGAGAAGGGTCGCCTGATTGCTTCTTTTGACTCATGCCACAAAAGGCCGACCAGAGATCACGATCACTGGCTTCAAATGGAATTCCTCTTGAGCTCTGGCATGAGGAGTGCCCTGCCCCCCTTCCCCCGGGACTAGTCCTTTGACAACACGGGCAACAAGCGGCTCGGTTCGTCAACAAGGACCGGCGAAACCAAGTAACAATGAGGGAGTTCAAATTCCTCCTTTGCAACGGAAGAGATGATATGAACACGGCATCGAACGCCCCACTGAAACTGGATGGAAAAGATAACGGGTGCACTTAAGGACCAGAGCAAAAGGGTCAGCATCAAGTCCTCCAGGACCGTGCCTCCGGCGGGAGTACTAGACGTAGCACACGGCCGGTGAGAGAAGGAGTAAAAGCCGATCTCGAAGAGGCCGAGGCCGGTTGTAGTCATCAAGTCAAAGGCGCTCGTAATCACACTAAGAACCCGAACTCAAGCAAAAGTGACGCTTAACTGCAAATCGTCTCCGCTCAAATCGTTCTTTCTATGGCACTGGGAAGCCCAACTTTACGATGGCGTCTACACCGACCAAGTTATCACTCGAGCCATCCGACTCACGCAAGACCGAAGACCAGACGTTTGCACGGAGGATAGGTAGCTGTTCGGGCCATGGCATCGGACGACACTTAGCAACGGGCCAACAAGGCCACGGTCTGGACCAAGCATCTTGTCAGCCGCAGGCGGCCGGTGGGGGGAAACAAAAAACGGTGTAATTGAAAGACAAGGCGATCGACGTGAGACAAGGACGCGGCTGAGTGACGTAAGCGAAGTTCCGGGTTGCGCGCGATGCAAAACAGACTGATGAAGCAGATGGAAGCAACCCGAGGAAAGTAGATCAAGCGAATGAGAAATGCCCTGCGCGAGTTTGGGAAGAAGCTGGCGAGCAAGTTCCGAGACCGAATGGGGTCCCGAGGCTCACGATGAGTCGTTAGTTGGGTGGAGCAGGCCCGTTGGGATCAGCAGATTATATACGACGGCAATGTTACTTTAGATCAGTCTCTCCCGAAGCTTGCATCGGCGTTTATCTAAAGTAAACTCGTATACCTAAATTTTGGTGGAGCTCCGTTTTGAGATCATCCCAAGGAGGGAGATGGCCGAAGATCAGCCAGATCCACGTGACGTTGCAGGTGATCAGATGTTTTTTGCGACGTTGACCACACCTCACCTTAATGAACCTTACCTAAGGAACCTTATGCGTACAGGTGTTCATTGCATTTTGTGACCTTTTCTCACGTAAGGTAGGAATTGACCGTCATCTTTAGGGATAGAAAATCAAGGTTTGTGAGAAGGTGCTCTGTGTCTTATGAAAGAAAGGATAGAGGTTCCAACAGAATGGCAACGTCTTGCGCCCGGGCCAGACTGTCTGCTCCTGACCTCGTTCCTGCTCGGCCAAGCGCCCAAAAATGCTGTGAAGCCCATCCTCCTTCTCCGCTTACGCGGGCATGCTTTGTAGTGGGCCGTGCACGGATGTCAACCTGACTCCTCGGCTGAAGCGCCAATGGAATGGGGGCCAAGGTTGTTGTCCACTCGCTCATCCTGGCAGGAGCATTGCAATTCCACTGTAAATGGCATTGGATCCCCATCATCATCACGGGTCCCTTCCCATGTCCAGTGAGGACGAGACAGACTTTCCCCCGTCTCCGCTGGAAGAAGGGGGCCCAATGAAAGCCCCAGCAATGCATTGATTGGCAGACGCTTCTGCTCCCGGGTGCTGGCTGCTCTGTTCGGAATTCCCCCCTCATTGGAGATTGCCTGACAGGTACTTCGTAGTCACCGTCTTAGTTGGGTTGGGAGGGGAGTGGAAGTGCCTCCATGCAGATGCAGAAGCAATGCAGATATGGACAGCGAAACCCAATGTCAATGCCCTGGCTTGAAGAGCAAACTTGTTATCACCTTCGTCACAATGGCTGGGGAAGCACTTTTGCGTTATCGTCTCTTGTACCTATGGACGACAGCACTTAACACAATTCGTATCCGTAGGAAAGTTCCAAGGAAGCAAAACGAATAAAAAAAGAGGTCATCCTCTGTGACGCCACAAGCCAGCGTCTCTGAAGAACCCAAACCGTGCATAGAGATGATGATCCCCAGTTTTAGCGCCTTACGGCAGTAAGAAGTAATTTGGGTATCCGAAGCAGAAAGGCACCAGGGACGGGAAGGTACCTTGCACTTTCCGTGGTACCTTCCTGGCTTCTCGTAACGTAAGGAACCTCCCATGCTCTTTGTGTGCCTTCCTGAAGGTACCTTACCTTACCTTAACAAATCCGCTCCCGTTTCTCTCTCTCGCACTCTCACTCCGCTCTGTCTTGCTCGCCTTACCGTCCGCCGCCCTCCACTGCCTTACCCGTACGCTACCTCCCACCCACACAAACCATACGACACGAGAGGCACGCACGGCAGCAGCGTTTGGCGCCTCATACCTGCCTTACTTTCTTCCTCCCTCCTTCCGAGGCACCTTTTCCTGCGTGCTCAAGGCTTAAGTCAAGGTACGGCGAAAAAAGCGAAAAAAAAAAAGAAAAAAAAAAGAAAAAAAAAAGAAAAGGGAAAAAGACGACAGAGGTATTGGACTCTGCCGTCTGTCTACCTTATTCACCTTAACATCACCCGCCTCTTGCACTGCTCACTGCATAGTCCGGCCTTGGGATTCGCCCGTCTTTTTGGGTGCAGCCGACCAAGCCCACACTAAATCTCCCTACCGCCAGCAACGAACGCCTCACAACAAAACCACCACCGCGCCTTCGCCCACACTCCTTTGATCATCCTCGACCCGGCCCCTTTTTTCCTTTCCTCAGCCAGTATTGGTACTGGACTGCGACCACTACGACGCCCAGGACAGGACGTTCCTAGGTTTTATCCCCCCCCCATTCCCGCATCACATAGCCTTGCATTATTACTGTGGTCCGCTCTTGATTTTGATCTCACTCTCGCCTTCCTTTCTTCGGACGAGACGAGACGAGAGGCGAAAGTGTTCGGTCGGTCGCTGGCAGCATTTCAGCTCCTGCTCTAAACGTCGCCCTGCTGGTGCTGGCTGCTCCACTACCACAAGCCAACAACCTAACCTCGACGACCCCGACCCATCCCCCCGACCCTCTTCTCACCCACGCCTTCACCCTGACCCCCGACTATTCGTACTCGACCGACTCCCAATCCCAATCCTAACCCCGACTTCCACCACTTCCACCACCGCCATCCTCTTCAGCCCAGCGCCTGCGACGTGGCTACCCGTCTCCCGCCAGTCTCGCGAGTACCTGACGGCCATTACCCGAATTATTTACTATCGCCCAGCACGATACCGCCGCCGTGCGACGACGACCCTTTTCTTCAATTCTCGACCCCAGTACCTACCTACCCATTCCACCACAAACACCCCCCGGCATTTTCGTAGCCCAGCTGATGCCGACCGATAATTTCCTGGCAACTCCCACGTCCGACACTCAAGGCTGACGGGCGGCTTTCTAATCCATCCCGCCCTATCAGTGAAGAGTTGCAATCGATCACACCACGCGCAGACAAGACGACGCGAAGAGTACTGCACCATGGCGTCGGATTACGATCATGGGGCGCCTGACGACCGCTTGCAAGCCCACCCCGCTGCCGCCCCTATGGAACCTGGCTATCCCGGCGATGGAGTCTGGCAGAATGGAGGAAGGAGAACTCCCGAGAGAAATTACCGCTCACAGCAACCCTCACGC